CAATAAGTTTACGACCGCGATCTTCGGTGATTATTCTTATTTACTTATGTTAAAGATAAATCTCGAGGCTCTGTTCTCTGCGCGTTCTCTTTCCCTTCATAAAAGAGAAAATCTACACGTAGGAAAGTGTGTGTACGGGGCATCGTGCTTTGCAGCGATCGATCGTAAATCAAGAGAGATCGAAGTGTAAGCTTGCAAGTAACTGGCGAAATCATGCGTGAGATTACGATTTTATGCAAACTTTTCGTGATCCGGAATGAACTGTTGTTTCCTACGACATAGTTCTCGTTGGAACGTGTGTCCGTAGCAGAGAATCTGGCATACGAAGTCTTCGTTGCATCTACAAGGTGTTTCGTAAATGGTGAACAGATCCCTAATGCTTAGAGAAGACAAAATTTTTCAGGCCTATGTTGATATAACGTTTTCTTCTTCTCTAAGCATTAAGAATCTATTCCTAAAGTTTTGCCCACCATGTACGCAACACTCTGTACGGAGTGTCCCAGAAAAAGTGTTAGAGCCGAAGAGAGGTGACTCTGCAAGTGTACCTGAACAACAATTTCCTTTGCCAAAATGCAAAGTAAGCCGTAATTTTTGAATTATTAACGAAAAACACTGACCAATGAGAGCACACCCAGCCACGGATAGGTTGGCTCGGATCATGGCTCTCGGCTGTGACTTACAATTAGCGCGAGCCCTACACGTATTCTTATTGGTCAGTGTTTTTCGTTAATAATTTAAAAACCATGCCTTACTTTACATTCTGACCAATGAAATTGTCATTCAGAAACACTTATAGAATCACCTCTCTTCAGCTCTGACACTTCTTCTGGGATACCCTGTATATCGATTTGCAATCTCAAATCCCTACGTGAGTAAACATCAACTAGAGTATTCGCTGGATCGGAAAAGCGAACGATACGAAACGGCGTTAAAATATCCACGACACAATTATTATCCAATTGGAGGGTCGCGACAAATAATAATATTATACCATTATATGCGCGTTATCTCCGCGTCACGTGGCGACTCACGCGCTTTCGTATGTCATCCTGTGTTGTTACAGAATATCTAGGTACTCGCAATCGGTATCCTCCGCATCGTAACGCGATAACGAAATTAGCCCTGAAAGTAAACATCTCGTTTTACGTACCAACTTGTACGCAACTACAACTACGTACATTGTGGACGGTATCGCCCGTCGCTTCGAATAGACGAAACGTACGGAGTACGTTCTCGGATAGAGTAGATATATGCATGTGTATTTAAAAAAGAAGGAAACGAATTGGATTAGATAAGCCGAAGAAAAGAGAGCAGGAGAAATCGAAGAAAAGCGTTGATTCTCGTTTGTAGAAGGGGAACGAAACAACAGGAGAGCGAGAGCGCGTGCAAGGCCTTACGTCAGTGATATGCGAAGAATCGTTTAATTATTGTAGAAATCGGGAATACGATATCGCGGAACGATCGAAAAGCTATTTTAAATCGCGCCTAACTACAATCAATGCGCGATTAGGAAACCGCGAGTTCACGAGAAAAGAAGATTCAGCTTCGATCGCAAAGATGCATTGCTTTCAAACTCCATGTAAACAATTTTAAGTCTTTATCGTGATTGATGCTCGATAAGGGATACTTGGAGAAACAATACGATTCCAGTTTCATTCTCACTCTGCCAGTGGTCTAATAATTGATTCTCGCTCAATCTCGCGATTGCAAGCGTAGGTTTTGGGTTTATGGTAAAAGAAAAGATTTTATAGATTGAACCAACGAAATGTAATTGATCTTATAGTGATTACAGAAGTGAATTAATGAATATGTTGCTTCTATATGTATATGTATCATCGTATCATATACATCAAACTGTCTATAACGCGAATAATCGCATAAATTTAAATCAATTCCAACAAATTCAATGATTTGGAATTTGTTTCAGTCGATATATAATTTGAATTAAAAGATTAAATTTACAATTAAGAGATAAATATCTTATAGTTTACAACCATCTCTTTGGATTAATATACAAATGCAAAAATAGAAAATAACAATTATTTTACAATAAATATAATTTGGTGCACTTCATTCATCCACGGTATGCTTAATTGTTCAAGCATCATCTGTTTATAACTTCTTCATATATAAGAGAAATTCCTTCTCGGATGAGCAGATAATAAAGAAAGCACGAAGTTAAATTTTTCATTATAGAAACGTTTAAGCATTCTTAAATATACATGCCGCTATTGGTGATTACATGCAAAAGTTACAGATAAAGGATGCAAATATAATGCAATGAACGTAATGAATGTTAAAAGAATGTCAGTAATATGCAATATTTACAATGCTTATATTATTTTTATGCAGAGTGTTTTACCTGGCAACCAATGTCCACGCAGTCTTTAATTGCTCCACCAAGAATATTTTGCACACCTTTTGTGATGTACATTTCATCTATCATCAGACTACAAATAATTCTTTTATCATGTTTTTTGGCATCTTCTACTTTTAGCTTCAAAATATTGAAGCAGTCGAGCTTTTCTCGCGTGTCGTCGAGCCTCAAAGTACTGCAGAACAGGTAATCGGTATCGGGCGTACGCGTAGAGATAGACGCTGTAAATGTAATCCGATATTCAACGGCTGTTAATGATCGCGTCACGACGAATGTTCGCGCTTACGAACGTCCACGTATGTCTCGTGTATGATTATGTACTATTGTTACACTAGATCAGGACCAGGTGTACGATTTCCTGTTCGAATCGAGGATACTCTTTTCGAATTCTACCGCCATCAATGGAACGCGATGACGTAATGCGACACTGACACATGTCCAATCGCGGGTATCCATCCGATGCTCCGTCGATGACGATATCGTCGATATCGTCTGATATCTTCTGCCTTTTGTGTTCGATATCGTCCGATAATATCGTTGACGAAGCTGCCAAAATGGAGCATTCGCGAATTCGCGAGTACGAACACCAGCTACAATGATAAACGACAAAATGAGAAACGGAAAGTGAATCGACTGAGCCGACTGACGAAAGGTGGGACGAGTCATCGTTGTCGTCGCGTGCAACCCTGCATCGTGAGTTAGGTTATGGTTATGTCGGGAGTAGTGATTGGAAAATTTCGAGATCGAACCTAGCCAACGTAGCCTCTTTGAGCGATCTCGTTCGACCGTAGATAGTCGCCATACGTCGTGAACGTAAAACGGAAAAGCGCGGTCTCACCGCGAAGTTCCGTATAAAAATGAGTCTGAGTATAACCAAGTTGTTCTCGAGAAAGAAAACTGGGAGTGGAAGTGGTGGCGGGGGCGGCGGTGGCTACGGCGGTACGGTCGACTCCGTCGCCGAGATCGGTCTGCCGACGAACGTTTCCCACAAGTTTCACGTGAGCAAGAACGCCGAAACTGGACAACTGGAAGGGTTACCTGAGTCCTGGATCCGTCTGCTCAACACACAGATATCGAAATCGGAACAAGACGAGCATCCGACCGCCGCCTTACAGGCTATCAAATTTTATAGTTATTCGATCAAGAGGAAGCCGGAGGAGAAGGTGTTCAAGCCGTTCGTCACCGAAGACCTGATCGAGGAGGAGTCGCAAGAGATCGATAAAATCTTATCGAAGAAACATCGGTCCGAAGATTCGGACGGCGCGAGCGCTGACTCCACGGAAGGTCAAGTCAAAAGATTACCGGAACTTCCGCCGAAGACGAATAAAATTCCAAAGCCTACACCGCGGACGCTGCCCCCCGGATCGCCCGACTACGCGATTCCCGCTGCTTACGACTGGGACGAAGATGAGAGAGAAAGAACTCTCACGGAGATTCTCAAAGATTTGAACGCATACGAGATAGGAGACGACGACGAAGATCCAGATCGATTACCACCGCTGCTACTACCCGAAGCTGACCGTGGGTACGAATACGACGTCGAGAACAAGAGAACGGAAGAGAGTCCCATTTTGAGGAGGAAAACGGAGGAGACGGGTACGCTGTTGAAGCTGAACGACGAACAGATATTTGAGGAGCTGAAAGCTATTTGTCAAAACGGAGATCCTCACGTTCGTTTCGACAGGAGCAAAGAGGTCGGGGCCGGTGCCTCGGGCACTGTGTTCATAGCCACCGACTCAAAGACCGAACAGAGGGTCGCTATAAAAGATATAGATTTGTCGAAACAACCGAAGAAGGAACTGATATTGACCGAGATCAAGGTGCTCAAGGAATTCCAACACCCGAACCTGGTGAACTTTTTGGACGCGTACCTCGTGAACGATCATCTGTGGGTTGTGATGGAACTGCTGGAAGGCGGGCCGCTAACGGACGTCGTAACTGAGACTATAATGAAAGAGGTGCAGATCGCGGCGGTCTGCAGGGAAGTTCTAAAGGCCATCAGTTTTCTGCACACCAAAGGGATCATTCATAGAGACATAAAGTCGGATAACGTGCTCCTTGGAATGAACGGTGCCGTGAAAGTAACGGACTTCGGGTTCTGCGCCAACATCGACGGCGACGAGAAACGACAAACAATGGTCGGCACTCCCTATTGGATGGCTCCAGAAGTGGTGACTAGAAAGCAATATGGTAAGAAGGTGGACATTTGGTCCCTGGGCATAATGGCCATCGAGATGATAGAGGGCGAGCCTCCTTACATGAAAGAGACCCCTTTGAGGGCCTTGTATCTAATTGCTGCCATCGGTAAACCTTCCATTCCCAGATGGGACACGTTGAGTCCGGTGTTTCAGAACTTTTTGGAAAGGTGTCTGGCCGTCGAAGTCGACGAAAGGGCGACCGCGGACGAATTGTTGTCCCATCCGTTTTTAGAGAACTGCGCGGAACTAACCAGTTTGATACCGTTGATACGAACCGCGCAGAGGATCCTTCGTAAAGACTTTCACTGATCGCTCGCCCTCGATTGCCTAGAGCAATGATCAAACCTTTTCATTTTACACCTTCGGTCTGAACGCGTAGCGTCGCGACATTCGTACATTCGTCCGTGTTCATGCTACGCAACCGTATCGTAGAAAACTATTTTATCTAAGTAGGGAAGAACAAAACGAGGTTGCACGCGGTGCAGTGATTTTATACACTTTCATTTTATACATATACGATCGTCTATTTATCTACTGTATTTATATAAACGCGTTACCATCACTAATATACATATATATTTCTACCGGAAACATCGTCGGCAGGTTGTAACGAAGAAACTGCTGACAATGAGAGGGACAGTCCTTAGAAAGTTATCATTGAATATCATGAGAATATCATCGATTCTCGTTCATTCGCTTGTACAAATTTTATATTACCTCGTACGTGCGATAGGTACTACTACTCTCAAGTCCCTGAAAAGTTCTTGACGTGTTATCATCCCTTCGCACGAGCTCAAACGTTTTCTACACTTTTGTCCATATGCCCGATACTATAAGTGCAATTTCATTTACGTACGTTACCAACATCTGAGGAAGAACGATAAGTCGAACGTTCCATTGAAAAGAGAATAACTTTTTCTAGTAGGATAAGACTAGATTTAAATGTCATTTGCATTTACTACGTATAGAATTGTATGTACACGTTTCGATCACTTTTATTAAAATATTGTACTTAGTTCGTTGAAGAACGGAAACCACTAGGTACGCGTAAGTAACGTCTGTCAGGCGTTTAATTATAATTTATTTTATGTAGCAATGAGAAAAGCAGAGAGAAACGTGTTGTGAAAAGTAATTCCAGTTGCAGTATAAATTCATAATTCATCATACTGGCGATCACGATTTGGTACCTATTTCGAATCGCACCGCACACGCTTAGACTGCGGATTTTTGTGTTAAATTATTTGTGGCATGAATTTGAAAAATGTAATTTTATACCATCGTTCAAGGATCGTACATGCAGCTTTTGATATTTCATATATTTTAATATAACAGATATCCTTCCTTTATATAATAGATTCCATCCTTTCTGTCTTCTGCATGTTCAATGCTTCCACAAGTATATAAAATCCGCAAAACAATCTAATTCTAAAAGTAACTATTACGTCCGATCCATTACGGTTACGATCCATCGAAATCATTTCGAAAGAAAGACTGTTTCTTTGCTGCGAGAAACTATGTACGACGCACACGAATCTTGTGGTTCTACGTTAAAGAAGAAGCACACGTATTAAGATCAAGTATTGTAAATTATACATACCGTAACGACGGGTTTAAGGTGTATTGTGAGTTTTGTAACATTTAATCACGTTCATTTTATATACGTGACTCTTTTCAGAAACGTTGCATAGACGCGTATTTTAAGATAGACAATACCGTTCAACCAGATGCCAAACTTTAAGTACCAACTTCTGTACAACGAGTACTACGAACTCCTTGTATGTACATAATAACGTTAAATATCTTTCGTGAAGAAGAGTATTTAAAATTTTACCATAATCAAATGTTATTCATAGTCATTTAATTACTTTAGTTTGGGGGCCAGAGCCCAGACAGTAATATCACGTCTGTGATAGCAAAGAATTGAGTCCGCTCGTATTCTATTTGTATATATTTCATATCTTTTATCCAATGCTAATTAAATATTTTAAGTACAATTTGTAAATCTTCGATGATACACGTTGCTATCGAGTCTAGTAATTATTGGTAATCACGTAAAATTAACACTTGTTTAATCATTTAACGACTGAACGTCCGTTTTCAGACCATCTGGTCAAAGTGGAAAAAGAAACGAAAAAGTGATAAGACTTAAAGAGCCATAAAAATCGTGCCTTATTGAATCGATATCTATTTGCATACGGCTGATTCTGTAACAATTACGCGCCTTACGGTAAATAAAAAGTATTGTTCGTAATTTACCGATAAACAATGATTACACAAGACGTATATTTAATTCGTCGCCTGAAACTGTTCGATAACAGCAATGATTGCCAAAAAAAATTTCTTACCTATCGTATGTCACATCTATTTTTAAACATGTATGAATGAAACGTCGCGCATATGATTTTAACAATAAATATTTTATTTACAAGATTTACATATACATACCTATTCACTTTTTACTATCCCGACAAGTTTTTTAAGCCATACCACAGTTCCTAGTTGTGCGTTACATGATCTTAAAATCGCGAAAACCATGGAATATTTTTGAACGTTATCTTTAAAAGACAGAAGAAAAAAAGTATAGAATTCGTTCGTATACATTTATCGCACGATGGAAATCGTGATAGTGTGGCCTTCTTCTCCTATTGAAATAAATATCGGACATCGCGGTAATTACAATATAAAGACACGCGTGTCGAGGATTCGCTGAAATTTATGGAAAAACGAAGCTAATTGGATCTCGACGCTGCCATTGGATCGAGCCAACCATGTTAATAAATACGAACGCTTATTACCCTGCACTCGAAAGAAATGATGTACTTATTTCATAACGTAACACGTTGCCGAGAAATCAATATCTAAACAGGTAATTACATTTTAAGCAAAGATACGAATGTTGACCTACTTATTTACAAGGAGACACATACGAAAAATAAACGGTATAAATAAATTCAGATAAGCTTACTAGGTTCGACACGAGAAAGCTGATTCGTATCAAATTACTATTCGTAGACTGTTACACGCTGCAAATTATTTTTATCAATAAAAATGTTCACCGGGACGTAGAGAATGCATGGAGCTCGACGCCAGGCAAATAATTAATTTACTAATTAATGCGCCGTTTCCATCGATAACGTATTAATAACATCAACGTACCATTTTATTAACGGTTAATCTTAACGGTTTTGTACATTTTCTGTAAAACATTTTATACAAGTGTTAAAAGTAAAAGGTACCGGTATTATCGCTATATTTGGCAGTATCTAGGCAGATAAATGGGTATATCTTTCACTTTGATTTAGAACCGAGCCACAGAAGCGGGTTTTCCTTCTGTATGAAAATGTATGCACGTAATTTTCGTGACGAAGAGGGGAGGTGTCTCGTGCATCATAAGGAATTTCTCGGATGGATACGCGGTGTATTCGAATTAACGAATCCGTAAGCAAGGGCGAAGGTTCCATTCGTTTTCGGAGCCTTCTTCGAATCCAAAGACTATTTTCTAGTATCGTGGGAGGGGAAACTAAAATACGTATCAAAACGAAAATCCATTTTTCGATTGAACACGGATACCCGAGGATCACGGTATGAGTAAAGGTCAGTAGTCCTGCGAATACCTTAGCGCCCGCAACCTTCCAGCAACGAGGAACGACGGATCCTCCAACATGGATCGTAAAACGGCTAAAAAGTCGGCGGCTTCGTCTTCGTCGATTGCCCGTCTATCGTACGACAAGGTCGTCGATATTTTAGTTGCCTTCTGCAGCGCAGCGTCTGCTCGGAAAAATATACAATTCATGAAAGATAATAATTAAAATCTTCTTGTCTCGTAAAACGTAGTTGGCATCGACTAGATAATAAATAGATTCTATCTTTACCCAATTCCTCTCGACCGCCACCAACCGCGAGGATCGCCGTCTGAGGAGGATTTATGATGGCACTGAATTGCTTGATACCGAACATTCCCAAATTCGATATTCTGAAAAACGGTCAGTATGCATAAAAAGATTGTAACGACTTCGTTTCTTTTCACAAGACAATAAGTTCGTTTTACACTTACGTGAAGGTTCCTCCTTGATATTCATCCGGCTTCAGCCGACCGGTTCTAGCTTTCTCGGCTAATTCTTTGATATTCTTCGAGATATCGACCACGCTTTTAGCAGTTGCGTCGAAGACGATCGGCGTGATGAGACCGGAGTCCGTGGCAACAGCGATGCAGATGTCAGCCCTTGGCATGCGGACTATCTGTTGAAAAAACGTAACGTTTCAACGATTCTCGTGTACGAATATTGTGCCATTAATTCGATTCGTTCGTATACCAACTTGTCCGTTTTGATATAACGTGTTGACAAATGGACATTCGACCAACGCGTGAGCCGCTGCTTTCGTAATAAAATCGTTTATCGAGGTATTGATACCGTCGGCCTTCAGTTCGCTACGGATTTCGAGTAATTTATTTATCTTAACGTCGACGAAAGCGTACGAGTGTGGGATGGTGCGCTGAAAAATTATTATAGGTACGTAAGCATTCACGTCCCTAAATCTAATCCCAAGTAAGTAAAATTTGCATAGATTGATAACTGGTGGAAAATTACTTTCGATTCCCCGAGCCTTTTGGCGATAACGGCTCTTATATTTGAGACTGGAAGGTCCTCGTAAGCGGAAGGGACACCGCTAGGCACATGCGGTTTCCCTGAAGGCTCTTCCCCTTTGGGTTGCGCGACCTCGGGCGGTGCCGCTGTTTGCGGTGGAACCCTTTTCACATTGTGCGCTTGTATGTAAGCTAAAACGTCGCTTTTTAGCAAACGATTAGGCCGACCGGTGCCTGTGATAGACGCCGCATTTAATCCGTACTCCTCCAGCAATCGCTTCACCGCCAAACCGTACACCCTGAAGTAAACAGGTCACAATGAGAAAATGAAAGGATCGTAAAAACATGTTTGAATCGCGCTTACTGTCCACTCGGTGCAGGCGCAGCTGCTGGCGGTGCAGGCGCAGGAGCGCCCGGCGGGGCCGCTGCGGCCGGTTTCGTAGTCGTTGGAACGACGACACTCGCCAGATCCATTCCCTTTTCTACCGTGATGGCGATCAATTCTCCGACTTCCACTTTACTTCCTTCAGGAGCCTATTAAACAAACCTTTCCGTAGAGTCACAATAACTTCTACCTACAACACGATTGAACGAACGCTAATGATAATTTACAAGAATTTTCGCGAATACACCCTCGTCCTCGAATTCGAACGTCATCACGGCTTTGTCCGTCTGGATTTCCGCCAACGCATCGCCTGGTTGTAACTCATCTCCTTCTTTCTTCAACCATTTCACTATCGTTCCCGACGTCATCGTCGGTGAGAGCGCCGGCATGCTAACGTTCGTTCTGGAAATAACGCGACTCTCTGAGATCTTTCGAAACTCTTCGCGAGCTCTTTGCGTGTACAGTGTACACTCTGTAGATATGCAAGAAACTTGATGGAGACACGTACTGGCCAGGAGGCGGTTGAGCCGGCGCGGATGGAGGTGCTGCCGGCGGAGCTGCCGCTGGAGGTACTGGTGGACCTGCCGGTGGAGGACCCACGGGAGGTGCGGGCGGTGCCGCGACCGTGTCAGGCATTTCCACAGACTTCCAGTCTTCACCTACTTCGACCGTGAGTGCTATCAGCGATCCGACTTTGACATCCTTCATCCCTTCTGGCACCTAACAGAGATTTTAAACATTGTTTCGTACAATGTGTAAATCGCATCAGGCGAAATTAGGAAAAACTTTCGGTTCTTGTTATGTACTATTGGACTACGTAAAAAATCGTCAAACCTTTCTTCGAACCTTACAATTATTTTTGCGAGCACGCTATCGTCGTCGACCTCCATAGTAACGACAGCTTTGTCGGTCTGAATGTCGGCGAGAGCATCCCCTGCGTCTATCTTGTCACCTTCCTTTTTGAACCATTTGACGATAGTGCCAGTTTCCATGGTAGGTGATAGGGAAGGCATTAACAGCGGCTTTCCTTTCACTGGAATAACGAAGATAAATTAAAAATTTTTCGATGACAAGCATCGTACGATGTCGCGCCACGTAGAAATCATTCGACTTCGGTTCAATAAAATAGCTGATTGCATAACCATTTTAAATGATGCATGGATGGTCAGACGCGTACAGTCATTAGTCGAACTGAATGAAAGGTAACGAAAGACATAATATTTAACTTTTCGAACGCAACATTTTGGACGACAATGAATTTCGTTTGAAAGGAATCTTGTCCGAAACGCATGATCGAAAGTTAACCTAAACTTTACTAAAAGAACTATTCGAAAATAATTGTAAGTAAGTCGCATACCATCGAGAACCCAGCTGACGTGAAAGCATGATCGTTGATACTTTAATGGCACGTAACTTCGAGGTATCGCGCGGCTACTGTTTTTAATGGATAAAAGCGCGATTCTAGGTATCATGAATCGCGCCATGTTCGATACGAGGAACGAGCAATGCTGGCAATGCTAAGCTAGAACGCACAGTTGCTATTGCTTATCTGCACTCGTTCCTCTGTCTGTGTATGCATGTATATACACCACTACACGTTAGTATAAATAACGTATATGGAGGCAAAATTCGACCTTCTCAATGAGAGTCGATGGTTTTGCATCACACGAAATTGCTTTTATTTTGTTAATTTTATTCTTTTATTTATTCCATTGCCCTTTACATTTACTCAAATTTTTTCTGCATCTTTATTTATTCTACGCGTAATTTGTATTTCATTATGTTGTTTCTTGAAAATTTATGAAATTACGACTACTGTTCATAATTGAAATGCATATATTATATAATTTCTTACAATCATCTTAGAAGCAATAGTGTTGTCATATTATTTCTCTAATATAATATAATAATAAAATTTATACAATGTTTTTAAAAATAATAAAACAAAATAAATTATTTAAAATAGAAATGAATTCCATGGAAGTGAACCACAAATTAAAATTTATTTTGATTTCTTACTTCTCTATGAATCCATACAAGAATTATAAATATGTCGTACAAAGTTTATCTCTTCTCTTTATGAGCATTTATGAGTTTTCATCAAAAATAAATAAATTGCTTCTACAGCATATAATAACCTACGTGCATTTGGTTTGACTCATTTTTCTTTCTTGGTTAAGTCGTTCGTTGTTAGTACGACACATCTCGAATTTAATTGAATGAATTGTTTCTTCACTGAAAATGCCTTACAAACGTAAAAAATACCACAGAGGAGATACGCATTTGAAAAAAGGCTGGCGAACTAAGAGGAGAACGAAAGATTTAGACGAGGTAAAACAATATAACCTATGTTTCAAAAAAGTGCACCCGTCACGTGGTTGTGTTACGATCGGCATCTGTTATGCGATGTCCTTTATTTTAGATCGATGAAGACCTCAAAGACGAAAATTTAAAAAGCTTACTAAATCAAGAAGTAGATTTGGAGAAACCTGGAGCAGCTCAATATTATTGTGTTCATTGCGCGTACGTATTCCTTCTCTAACCTAATTCATGTATTTTCTGCAATTGAAACTCTTATTATTCTGACGATACTCATTTTATTTGGCAGAAGGTACTTCATAAACACGACTGCTTTGAAAGATCATTTTACAACTAAAGTACATAAACGCCGGCTGAAGGCTCTTGAGTTAGAACCATATTCAGTCGAGGAATCAGAAAGGGCTGCTGGGAAAGGAAGTTATGTTGCCCCAAAAAAGAGAAAAATTGATACACTAACTCGGGATAGTTTTGATATGGACACAGAAATCTCCTCAGAAGCCAAAGTAGCAAAAGGAGATGCATAGTGGTCATATTGTGAGAGATAGTAATTTAAGAAGTTTTTAAAGATGATATTTTCCATTACCAGCTTAGAAACATTAAAAATGGCAAATTTCATACCGTATCTTGTACAAAGATTAAAGGTTTGTAAAAATCCGAGAAATACTCTGAAATATGTTAATGTGCTGACGAATACCAATAGAAGGTATGTCTCTGCGTTACTTGCCTCTACTGACAATAGGGGTAAAGAAATCTTCTCATTTTTGTCACCCTACCTGGATATTGACGATAGATTATCAAATTCCAAGAAGCTGCAGCAAGATTTGATAGTTCGCGGAGTTAACATGAACGTAAACGAGATCAAGAGTATGTGGGAATTTTATAAATCGATCAAAGAAGATAAGTACAGCCTAGAACTGAAAAGTAATGAGATAGTGAACGAGTTGAAACCTTTCTTCCAAAAGAAAGATTTGACCCCTGAGGAGCAAACGAAGCTAACCAAATTGACGCTACAGATAAGAGCAGTAAAGCAGGACTTGAAAACGATCAAAGGAACTCTGCAGGGTCTGAATGAAAGTATTTTGCAGAAAATGTTGCAAATACCAAACGAGGTGGACAAAAGAACACCGATACAAGCTCCCGTTGTACTGAAGCGTGTTAATCCGTTGAATCAAAGTTCAGCTTCGGAAACGAGGAATCATATAGAAATAGGAAGGCGCCTTGGGTTATTAGAATACAAGAACCCCATGCAATATTACTTGTGCAACGATGCAGCTCTTTTTGAACTCGGCGTGTTAAACTACGCCGGAAAAGTGTTAAGCGCGGATAATATGATTAGAGTGGCGGGCGCGGATTTCAGCCGCAGTTTGGTGGTAGACGGTTCCGGGTTGAATCACGAGGATCCCGCGGATGCTTTCATCATAGATAATCACAGCGACGTGGACAAGGAATCGCCGAACCGAATGCATCTCGTCGGTGGCGCAAGTCTGATCTCGTTCTTGGCGATGCACGCGAAACAACTGATAAATCCGAATCACTTACCGGTAGCTTACTTCTCTACTGGAAGACAGTATACTCCTTTTCGACCAGGGTCTACTCCCATCGGCCTGTTCACCGTTTGCCAATCATCGGCTGCTCTCGCATTTACCCTAGTCAAAGATGGAAATAGTCAGGAATATGATGCGCAATTTGAACGACTGTTGGCCACCGTGAGCAAATTGTACGACAACATATGCGATCACTATCAGATCGTGATGAGGCCTGCTTCAGAACTCCGACCTTGGGAGGCGATGCGCGTGTCCTTCGAGCTGTGGTCCTCGTTTTCGAAACAGTACATCGAAGTCGGCCACGTGTCAGTCTGCGGAGAGTATTTCAGTAAAAGGTTGCTGATCGCGTATCAAACACCCAATGGAAGAGCGTTCCCTTCCGTAATATCTGGCACCATATTGTCTGTGCCACGTTTACTCGGTTGCCTTCTAGAGCAAAATCCAGACAAATTTGTTATTCCGCCGAAAATCCTCGAACATTCGCCAATGGACTTCATCTCGCATTAGGAAACTAGTGTCTTTGTAAAAAGTGACAAGTCTTGACATGCATACTTTTTGTACGTATACGTGGTGTGTGGATGTTCCATTTGTTTCTACTAGCGGTTACTCGTATGTGTAGAATTTTGTGTACATACTTTCTTCTGAATAAAATTCTTTGAGAGATAGGTAAACAATATGAGCGCGTCATTATCTGTTTATTATTAAACATATAATACATGTACTTCGTAAACATGTGAAAGTATATAATACACGGACGTAATAATCGTTTCACGAACGATATAGTAACGCAATGAAGTCACTGCTCTTCTACCTTTGTATACTTGCATTGCATCATTTGAGAAATACACAGCTGTATCATTAAAAAGCAAATGTGCAAAAGTAGACGAGCAGTGACTAGGTCATGCTAGCATCACGGGAGATACAAAACAAAAGTAAATATTCTATTGTCTTTTGTCTACAACTTTTATGTCAAGTATATATTGATCAACGCGTTGATGATTAACATGATATCATGGGTTTAGATTTCGGAAATCTACCAATTCGAATAAGAAAAGTGGCCTATTACACTTTAGGCTCCTCTGATCAGAAATTTTGGGTGAAATTCTTTTCCCACAATATACCGAATTTAGTGAAGAAAGGCTGTCGGGCTTTCGTGCCGATGGTGCCAGGTACGTAATTGTAGAGTTGATTAAATTCCGTAAAAGAATGCAGTATAATAATACTAATTATAGACGATAAGATATTTACTGTATGATTTCAATCAAGTTCTTAAGATTTATACAAAGGACTGCAATGTACAATGCATAAGTCACATAAACATTTACAGAAGTAAAAAAATTACAATAATTTTTTATAGCTGTGCTCCTTAGTACTTTTTGCGTTGTATGGTCTCCTAAAGAGCATAGAAGATTAAAACGGAAGGACGCCAGTTTATATGAAAACGATACCTAGCGCGCTTATCCTCTATGAATCAAAATTAGACAAGTAAAGAGGACTGTAATGGAAATCTACCTGGATTATTTAAGATTTCATTTCTCTCTTCAATGATGATCAAATATGCGATCAAATATAATAAAAAGAAACTAAATTTTGTAATAACAATGCCTTTTTATTTCACATTATGAACTTTTATTTCAAATTAGACAAACAATGCTTAAAAACGAAATGGACTTTATCATTAGTAATCTAAAGCGCAAATTAGAGCTACGCCCTGTTTGATCCAGTGAGCTTGTGGTTTCCGGCTGGGTATCTCCATTGGTAACACGAAGTTCGTCGAGTGCCCAGTCGTGCTTAGTACTCCCGCTCGGTTGATAGTTTTGTACACAGGACATATGTACGTTCCATCCGGATGTTTGTGATGTACTTCCGGTAACAGTAGAATCGGAGGCATGTCTGCGGACGATTTAGCCAATTACGGAAGCCATACTGCTGCAACTTTTCTTTCAATACAATTAATAGACTATGGCCATTATTCAGATTCGTTAAGCATTTTCTATCCCTGTCTATCCCATATTTCTAGTCCCTGTCTTGTACAGTAAACAGCATAAATGCTTAAGGCGATCTTAAATATAAGTAACGACTCTTAATACCGGCCTATATTTACCAGTGTATAGCTCCTTGGGAAAAGATTCATTCAAATATTCTCCATCCCATCGGCAACCCTCAAGGAACAGACCATAAATGACACAACCGTCCGATGGTCTCTGGTGTGGCCTTGCACTCAATACCTACGTGTAACGCAAAACAAGGAGTATTGGTATTGAAATTTAATAGAACGATTATTTAATATTAAAAATTGTCATGTTCCGGTTACTTTGAAACTGAAATCAATCGTATCGATGGAGACGACATATTTTCTAGCAAAATTCTGCAACGTGCCAGTCAGAAACGCTTGCGGAAAGTAGAAACCGGAAATCCAGAATGCTGCCGGTATACCTTGATTCTCCCAAGTTTTCAAAAAGGCAATTCTCTCTTTCAAATCCAAAAACCACGCACCTGTATTTATATCATATTAGAAACAACCATAAATTTCATTATAATTAGATAATAAAAAATTTACAATTTTCCGTGTAATTTAAAACAAGTAGAGAGGTATGATTGTTTCACATAGTTTATGAGGAATCTGCTATCAATCTGTTGATTATTTAATCAAAGTATTCGAAACTGAACGTTACCGAGAGGTTTCAACGACGGGTATCCCTTATCTTGCCAAATTTGTGGAATTCTGTTGTTATAGAGGCTATTCGCTACAGTTTCTAACTGTTCGGACATAACGACCAATCCCTTCAAAGCTTTTAACAAATCTATTAAAGTTTGTTTCACCACTCGCAGCAGACCATTATATCGTATAGCTTCTTGAAGTAGTACAGTATTAAATGACTCCTCATATAATACCGGATATCTATGTAATATATGTATACATTGTATATTTATTACTTTGTATATTTATTTACGCACGTATTGTTAACAAAAATGAAATTAACGATAACGATTCAAGAGCATTATTTAAGCATTATAATAATTTTGATAATGTAATATTATAGATAAAGGTGTTTTAATATTTTCGGTATCGAGTTATGACATATTTTATTAATATTTAGCAATTTAAAAGAAATGAATTAAATAGATTTGAGATTATATGTAGAAGAGATGTATGACCAGTTCTTTCAGTGGACTGCGTTTGAAGCAAGACATTTAATATATAAGATCAGAGGCAAGACATTTAATATATGTATGTATAAGGCAGAGATCCGACGATTTATATAAACTCGAAGAAATCGAGCTATTCCTTCCGCTCAAATATGCTTGTTTGCATGCATATCGTAAACTGCAGTTTTCTAGGGAACACGTACGATTTATCAAAGCATACTTGAATGGAGATAACGGATAAAGTATAACATACGAATGTGTGTGCATAAATAAAATAACACAGAAATGCGTTTGATGACATTTCAGTACATAACGCGCGCCAGTTTTTCTGACAGTAGATTTTGTAAAATTATGTAAAAATTGTCTTCAATTTTCGTTAGAACACGCGTCAGTGTATATGAACCGTAATACTTTTGTTACCTTTGCTGGATGATCGTTAAGTCGAAGATCGGCGGTATTCCGGTGAGCATTTCCGTGGCTAATTGTGTGGTTACTTCTTCGGTGCTCGCCGCAGCGATTCCGACTTCTCGCGGTTGTAGGGCGAGTAACGTATTCAGACACGAGTACGTCTCCGCCTGAGCGAAGCTGATGTCCGCGTTCGGGTGCATGCCGAACATTGACGGTTCATCGTTCAGAGGGAACGTTTTTATGTACTCGATGTAATCCTCGAACTTAGCCGTCTCTTCTAACTAATAAAGAAGCATAAAATTTAAATAAAAACATAAACGTTTAAAGTATCAAATAGAGTTTTTGGATCTAATAATGAAATTTGGTCAAATGTTAATACACCGTTAATCTAAGCACATACTTGAACGTAACGTCCGGTTTCGTCAAATTGATAAGTTGAAGATAAAATTTCGGGTTTGTAGTAATCTTGCAAAATAGTTAAAACGCATCGTCGATCCCAATCATCTGTTATTCGACCTCCATAGTTAATATGACCAGCTGTGTATATCAACACCTTTATGGAATGTTAAAAAATCCTCTTACAAGATTCAACTAGATTAAAATATCAGAAATACGTTACGTGTATTTAATTAAAAACAAAATTATAATAAATTCTAAAAGCCATCAACGTTTATAGTAGCACAGAGGCTAAAATTGCAAATTGTAAATCACACATTTTTTCTAAGAATATGTAATCTTACTTTGAATGGCACAACGTCATATTCTAAAAGGAACATATGCAGCTGCGATATGCATATTCTCAAATCACCGTCGGTAAATTCGTAGGGGATATTGAATCCGAGAGAGCCGAATTTCCTACGTTCCAGCAATGCCGAGTGGAAAAGGCACAACGAGAAGACCAGCCATTTGAAATTGCACACCTTCGGATGGTCGGATTGTAAAAAGCTTTGCATTTCCGTTACCTGAGTCAGGTAGGCTCGAAACATGTTTGCCTAAGAAAAACAGAATCATTTTATTTTTTATTTATTTTATGCTAAAAACATGCATTACGACAATTAGGATTTATATAAATCCTAAAACATATGTCTTCCCTAGAATATTGCATTAAACATAAGGTGATTGTAATGAATAAATGATACAAAATTTAAATAAATAATAAGAATTTAATGACGACGAAAAAGGAATAGAAACAATTTTTATATTATACGACCTTTATGCCTCTGGGTGGTTCGACCGTCATCTTGCTACTGTTTTGGAGAATGCTGACAGGAAAGGCTGGCGAGGGTGAAGAGGTGAGCCATAAACGGAAGTCGCGATGGTTCTTTCCCCGCGATAGAGTCTCGACCAAGGTTTCCATCTCCGGCATCCAACTCGGTGCCAAATGGCAATTCTATGAAAATTTAATTTATTTAAACGACAGACGCCGGGAGGGGCTTAAGTTTATTGAACAGTATTGTCTATTTCTTCCCTTATTCATCAATAAAATTTTCTCTACTCTCGTTTAACAATACAAGATGTGAAAAGTTATCGCGTATATAAAATAAAATTCATGTATAATACAATTTGTACGTAAGACATTAAATTCGTGTTACAATCCAATTTGCACATGAGAAATAAAATTCGTGCATTATAAGATTTATGAAACAATTTTATGTTTTATGAGACTGGCAATGGTTTTATATTACTGCTTGAAAGTTTATAAAGTCATGTTTATAACAACAATTATTCAAGATTAATTCTATAGCGTTATGAGAAAAAATTCTTACTTGAAAGAAACACCAAGAGCCCTGTTCCGCAGATAACTTCATCATTGCCTCTGCTCTTGGTCCCTGTCCCTGGCCGAGGGAGATGGCGTGCAGCTTCGTGATCATTTTTAATTTGTCCGCGAACTTGTACAATTCCGCGGCGGGGTCAGTGCCGGTGGACAGAATGAATACAATGGGAGTGGTTGGTGAGGATTCGTTGTAAATCGCGGACAACTCGGCCGTCTGAGGCTCGACGAACTCTTGGCCTAGGTACTTTGCCAAATACAATTGCATAGCGTTCGTCACCTTGTCGGGACGCAGACACTTCAGCACTAACATTTTCTGAAAATCGTCTAACTTCGTTTGCCACGGATCGGGGTACAGGACTCTGCAGAGAAAGAGAATTTTTCATTTTCGTTTTATATAATGATCAGTTTATTTAAATAATTTTCTATGTTGATACACGTGGAACACACAATGTTTCATGCAGTGATTAGTATACACATATTGATGCCTCCTATTCATAAAATCTCGGTGGACCTATGCAATATAATTTTATTCCACGGATAATTGAACACGAATAATGTAACTCAAATACCGGTTTGACGTTATTGCATTTATATCACCGATCTCTATAGAGAGAATCTCTCTATAGAGAACACTGATTCATAGAGAGATCAGTATATCACTGATTTCTATAGAGAGATTTATAGAATTACATATATAATACATTTTCTTACTGTCTATATGATTAGTGATTTACGTATTTGGACCATAAAATATTTTGTTAGTTGAACAAAAACTTGTGAAAGGATCAACTTTAATAGTCTACTCACAGATGCGCCTCTTGAGCGTCGAACACGACTTTAAATTGAGCCATCGACTGTTTAAAGCTCTCGACGAAACCTGCAAAGTTTGGCAAGTTCTCAAGTGCCTGAATCTCTTTCCAGCAACGGGGAGTAATCCATTCCGGAGCTGGATTCGGACCCTCCTACGTTGGGAAATATCAAACTTTATGTGAAAAAGCTTGGGGGAATGAGCCTCCCACGCTGAGCATTTTCCACGTGGATCACAGAAAATTGTGAAACGAAAATAGCATTCCTTTATGATAATAAAAAAAATGTTAATATAATTATTTAATTGATATACATTAATTAATCAGTTGTTTCGAATAAAGAGTCTTCTCTGTATAATTAAGGATTGTATTTAATAAAAATACTTGTTAGTAATGTGTCATTAAAAGGACAAATAAGTAACTATTATTAGAATATCAATTTCCAATTTATGCTTAATTATCTAAGTTCATCAACTTTAGGACATTAACAAAAAGAAAATTGATCAATATCAGTACGAGAAAAAGAAATTGCTCGTCGATAGCGCGGTACGTTAAATTTATCGCTTACTTCCATTGGCTCGGGTCCCGCCAAAAGGTGCCTCCACTCAGTAGCATCGATTAATTTGTCGTTCATGCGTATTCGGGCGCAGACCAGAAATGCGAAGTGAAGCTTGTGTCTCTCGAATAGACTGCGGCACACGTTCGAGAACAGCGAGAACATGAATTTGTGGTTTATGTTCGCCACGCGCATTTGAATGTCAGCTGCAGATTAACAAGTAAAACATTAATAGTTTCACGTATAATTATTTCAGTCGTATCGCTTCAAAATTTAATCAAACCAATTATATATAATTGCAATTGGCATTATGCGACGCGAGACTCGTTTCGCGTTTTACTACTAACGGCTCTTTTCGGTGGCGACGATGCTGTTGTTGAAGATCTCAACGAACCACTCGAGGGAGTACTGGTACATCGTGTCAACGAATTGTAGATCGGATAAACAGAAGTAGAGGATTCGACCGCGAATCGCGACCGGGATATATAGCGACCTGGTTGTATCGATATCTGCTTGAGTGATCTCTGACTCTTTCATTTTCACCTATGCACATATGCACATACAGGATGATTCAACGAAAAATATTACGTCTTGATACGGGCTATGATATTGTTAAGTCAACAATACAAAGTGTCATTTAAAGAAATGAACGTGATCTTGACAAAAAAGTTTTCTTTCCAACTTTTTTTCTTGCAATGTATAGTCAATCGAGAACTGATCAACTGTTGTTGAAAATATTTTTTTGTCAGATTATCGCAAGTATTTGAAAAATCGTGAAAGGTGTTACATGGGACACTCTGTATTCTATGGCAGTGTATACAATTGATATACAGAAATAAATCGTATACATACATACAGTATTGTGTACTGTTAATATTGACCGAACGTTTACAATATGTTCTACTTCTTTTAAAATGCATACCTTGATCTCTTCGCTCTTGACTTTAGATGCCTCTAAGGTGAGAATAAGATCCATGTCATCGACGGCGGAGCCCTCGGATACTGACAATCGATATAAAATCCTATCTTCTATTTCCAGTAATTCCCTTCTCAATTCCGAATTTAACACGATTAAAGCGTTTCTCGTTTGTTCGAGGTCGGGTCGTTCTTGAATCACGACCAGCGACAGCATTTGATCCTCGAGGCCGCTTTAACAATATTTTCATCACATTATCATTCTTTCAAAACGTCCAAAGCAATTTAATCAAATGCCGCAATATATTTTCATCGAAGACGAGTAATGTATCACTTGCACCACATAATAATTAACTCGTTTAGTATGAATGCAGAGTTAGTTTTAGGAGAAATTCATATTGTCGTGAATACATATGTTGTACGCGAAAAATTAAATTTATTAAAGGAGGAATTCGATGCGGGTAAGGGGAATCTGAAGAAACCTACGTTTTGGTGAGGGCAAAGTTAACCAGCAGTATCTTGACGCATACTTCCGGCGTGTAATGAGGATTGGATAGTCTCGTGGTGAGAAAGAGGCGGAAGTCCGAATGATACGGGACGATGTTCTCGCCGACTTTCACACACCATTGGCCACCGTGCTCGAACAACGACCGTAACAGGATCGGATCCAAGCCTGCTTCCAGCTCCAGACCGATATTTTCTATCAGGCAAACTCTTCCGAATCGCACGCAAGACTCGAGTACCCGTAGCAATTCCTTATCTGTCATTTTTGCCACGGATATGCCGCTCTCCTTGTACTATTTCCCATTAAATTATAGTGAGCGCACAAGCAAATAAATATAAGTATAATTATCATGAATAAAATGCTTATAAAAGAGTGTTTATAAAAATACACGATGAGGCAATAATAAGTATCGTCAGAAATAATATTTATTGATTTAGTTATAGTTTCCGAAAAATGTGTTTTGATTTGTTAAATTAAAAGAATGAATTTCTTCAAGACGCTCCATAAAGTAAAAATGTAAAACATCTTTGAAGAAGGGATCAAACAATTCATTGCTTCTGTGCATGAAAAACAAAAGTCGTATGTTAAACAACGAAAGAAGAACGAAATAGTAGCGCTTTCAATTCATTGTCATTGTTAGATTAAAAAACTGTTGATCTTTATTAGAGAAACAACAATTGTTATTTGAATGATCCTATTATGAACAACATGCTTAACAAAGAAATGTATGTATACAGTATGCGATGTGTGAACAAAAATTGAAGGAATCGGTATGAAAAAAGAAAGAGATGGACATACATAGACCTAATCAATAAATAGACAGCGGATTTTATGCATTTATAGAAAAATTGTATATGCAGAAGGTACATATAAAGATTGCTTGCCATATAATATAAAAATTTATAAAATATCAGAGGCATGAGCGAATATTGCAATGTTTAAATGATAAAAGAAAAGTGTATCTAAAATACATTTTTTTAACATGTACCATAAATGTTTTATTATATGGTATAAGATAATGAAACTAGTGTCCATAACAAAAAGAGTAATCCTTACCAGATTACGGATCCACTTGTTTGCCTGTGCCTGGGGATCTATAAAAAGCGGCCACCGTTTCGAATGCATCGCGAGCACCGCGTTCTCGACGGACAGCATATCCCTCGGCAGACCCTCGATCTGCCATCTTCTTATTTCCACTTGGTCACCCAGAGTGGACACCGGGTCGCTACCTGCAGTGTGGGGCATGCCCTCGCCGAGTAGTTTCATCCAAGCTGTCAAAAGCCTCTCCCGATACGCGTCGGTGAACGGTGTCAAATAGGCTATCGCACCTGACAAGTTTAAGTTAGATATCCATTTCATGCGAGCGAACTCAAGTGTATATACAGCGTGTTCCGTAAAAAGTGTTAGAGCCGGAAATGGCAGAGTGGGAGGATCATTCTGAACAACAATTTCCTTTCGCAAAATGTAAAATGGGGCTTGATTTTTGAATTCAGTGACAGACGTCTTGGCTCGATTCATGATAGCCAGGGGAACAAGTGTTCCGTTCAGTACGAAGCGTTTTGAGAAACCAACGGATAATAAACTACATAAATGACAATGCAAAGAATTTGTTCGTTCTTTGTTATAAGTAAAAATTAATTTAACAGCACTTAATATAGCACTTGCAGCGCTTGTTCCTCTGGCAATGGCCGGGCGTGTATATTAGAAGTAAAATATGAAGTAAACTCGTTACAAAATGGATCTAGTAAAACGAACGAGAAATTTTATTTGAAGGCTACAGAAAAATGAATAAATGCATTGTTGGAAATGGAAATGAAAATTTCAATTAAAAGTAGATTGACAGAGGCAAATGAGAAATTTTGTCTATAGATACGAGAAATGAAGTAACTAAAGACGAATACATGAATGATTTCTGGGAATTAATTATTTTACATCACTTGTGGAAAATCGACCAGTATGTTTTTAGTTAGTTTAATTACGCTTATACCTGAAGCGAGAAGGATATCGCCAATGGCGTTTTTTACAGAGATGTTTAGCTCGGCAACGGTGGAGGTCCAACGTATTTGCTCGCCGGCGAGACCGTCGATCAGCCTGACAGCTCTGCCCATTCTGTCTTCGCAAAGCTGCTTCTCCTTCTCGAGGGCCGCTTTTTTATCCTCCTCCTCCTGCAGAAGCTTTCGCAGCTTCTCAATACCCTCTTCCACCTCTCTGAGCCTTTCTATGGCTGCAGTTAAAGTTCTCTCTGTTTCCACTAAAGCCTCCTCGGCTTTCGCCAACGCTTCCATCTTCGGTTTCACTTTCAGATTCACGAAGTAATAATTGTACATCGCGTGTACCCACAGACACAACGAATGACACGCCTTTGACACGTATTCGATCTAAAATAAGACGTTTCAGTGTCAAACAATAGTTTATTTTCAAACTGTGTACATTCCATAAAATTATCAATTTTTTTACTGATCTCTTAAAATACTGTACTCAAAGAGTATTCATGTTTTCACTAGTTAATATTTCAATTATTTATTTGCATACCCTCGCTCGAATGGTTTTCCTGTTTGAAGTACTTACCTTTGTCGTAAATAATAGTTGATTTAATTATTACGATGCCGTTCAACGTGAAAATACTAAGCTACTTAATGAGCGTATTTTCTGCAATTAACATTTCATTATTTCGAATATTGCGAAAATGTCTTTTCAAATTGCCAATTTTCCTTTGACGAAGTTAAAAGTTAGAAAGAAACACGAAACGTTATACCAATTAACGATTTTTCTGGCAACAAAGAACCTTTCATTATTAAATTCTAGGTACGCAATTGATTGGCATCGTTTGCAATGTTTATAGCCTTTTCCTTTATATTTTAATACATTCATTATTATCGTTTCTGTTAACATAGAAACTGTTTTCAGAGGAAAATTTTCCTGTTCAACGAAACCAATTATAAAATATACTTTCATATTTCCCGTTTCTATGAAATTTCTTTTTCGGATTTGCATAGTTTCTTGCAATTTCAAGCTGATTGTTCTGTATGAAACATCCTAATTAATGAATGGCAGACAACCTTTGAACGGGGTACCGTTTTTCTGGAATTCTATCGCATTACACCTGTTCGTGATTGTTCGTTACTGAGAAAATGATTAATTGTACGATGTACGAGTTGAAAACAGATTTGCTAATTCAGTACACGAATACACAGTCCAAGTTAATACTTACAGAAATGGTGGAAACATTTGCTGTTCTTTATCGTGTCCTTGTTATTTCAGAAAATAAATCATATTAATAGCATAAAAAATATAATAATATATATTTAATAATGATATATGTGATAATACTATTATGCAGCACTTAATACAGTATTAATTAATGATTATATAAAGCAAGGGAAATTGAGAAAGATTCAAACCTTCGATGGCTGGAAATTAGGATTTTCGATGTAAATTTTTAATTTATTAATCATGTCTTCGGTGAGATTTTCTTTGTCGTAATTTTCCATAGTATACAAGAAGTGACCCGGGTCCGCGAGCAGCTGGCTACCGGGTCCCCAGTAATCCCACTTCGGTTCCCCACCGTATCCGGTATCAATCTATGCAATAAATATTGAAAGGCAATTTGTCTTATATTTCCCTTGTATATACCCGAATCCATGCAATTTTCTACATGTATACATTTCTGCTTGTACACTTGCATGAAGTATTTATATACATACATATGTATATGTATTATTATTAGTATATAGTGAAATTCGCAAACCTTTACAGGTTTCACGTTATTTATAATACAAATGGTTTCGATAACAAGTAGCACGCCAACGGGCGGTCTTTTCATCGCTTTCACCTCGGTAATGTCGTTTCTGTTCAAAGCCTTCAAGCTCTTCTCAGCAGCAATTAGCATGGGACGCGCCAGACCTGCGCCCAATAGAATATCGATTAAATTAATACTTCGCAAATATCATTAAATGGAAGCTTGCATAGATCTTTCTTTTATAAACGCATTGATAACTAATCTAAAACCTGCTATAGACTCTTAAGTAGACCTGTACAAGCAAGCCTCTACATCTTGAATGCCTTCTATGCTTGAATACATTCTCTGGATGCATATGGTGCATCCACACATTCCGGTAAACCTTTTTAACATCATTTGTGATCAGGTCGACAGATGATGTAGCAGTTGCAGTTTTCTTGAATGAGATCAATTTTATTTAACGAAATTTCATTTAAGAGCTTTATTGAAGCTATTGGGAATTGATAACAGTTTAAAAGTAGAAAATGAAGAAAATATTTTCATTGTTTTATTCAAATGTAGAATGTAGTTCCAGTAATGCTGATTCGGCGGAGATTTACAAGTAGACTCATAGAAATGATAAAAACTTGTTCAAAGTATACTTGATTAACGATAAAGATTAAAATTTTTAATAATGAGAAGGAAATCTAACGACAGCGATGAATATGTAAACGTATCTCGCATCTCATGTTTACAACCGGGCATTTTCACTCATGAGCGACCTGAGCATTGCTACAAACGCTCCGATTTATCAGCACGAGTCTCCGCTTCAGTCGAATGATTTTTCAATTTTTTCCGGTCACTTGTCAAGGGACAAGGTAACAAGATAACTGCGCACTGTACAGTACTACCGTACACATGTTCCGGTGAACTTGTACAGGCCTGTGCGTCTCTGTCCTAAGCGTCCGTAGCGTCGGTTTTAAAATATTTTGAAGTAATACAAAATTTTTTAATTGTTTCTCGACCCAAATGATAAAAGAACAGTTATGTTCTGATATTTACCGAATTCGTCTTGAAATTCTCTAATTCTCTCAGATAGGCATAAAAAAATTATACGTTTATTTGCAAAAAATTGAAGATGACCTTGAAAAACATTAAAGAAAGAGTTGAAAAATAATCTTTTATAATCATGTTAAAGCTCTGTGGAAATCATGCAAAAGCTGATAAAAACATTTTTGATCGGACTGCTAATAACATAGTAATCTCTACTGATCACAATTCGTGATTCACCCTGTATTGCAAATGTGTAACTAGTATTATAGTTTGTAGTATAGTTTCCTTTCTATAATTTTTGTATATAATTTACCTAAGGATTACAGTTTAATGTTATAATTATAAAATTTACATAACAAATTTTTTCTTTATACGATTTCCATCTACGTCTGAATAGAAACTGTGTTAGCCATCATCTGATAAGAGTTACCTTATGAAAAGAAATATGTTATCGAAAACCTTAAAAACGAGCGCGAACACGTACTCAAATCAGCTTCTGCCTCGTCTTTGATAGCTTGATTCTCTATTTTCATCTTTTCCGCCATCTCCTCCTGCTCCTTTGCCTGTGCTCTCGTTTTCTCTGCTTCGACCTTCAATCAAAGAAGGAAAATCAGATTATACTGAAGAGATACCAGGCACATTTAGTTCTTAAAGCCAAGATCAAATACCTCACGCACGTTGAATTACATTTTTTTATCGTGAATGATTAGAATTTAGCTGTGTCATATACTTACTACAACGATTTTTACTTTGTTAATGAGAAATGAATATAGTGTATATGTAATTGTTTCATCTTTGATATTTATAAAGAAATATTCTTTAAACGATTGTATCATGTTTGTATCATTCGTTATTTAAATACAATATTTAAAAGAGTCATATTATATTAGTACTAACAGTGTCAAGGGCGATCCTTTCAATCATTTTAGCCGTGTCCTCTGCTGCCTTTTCCAACTTAGGTTTCATCAGCGCCAACAGTATTTGCATTTCCTTTACTTCTATCTCTGCGCTCGCGAGTTTATCTAAGCCTATCAAAATGTACTATTTGATTAAAATAACCTTCGTATCAAGTAATTTATGCAATTGATCAAAATGAATGTTTTGAATCATAATATTTCTTACATCATTTGAAATTATATTTTATTCGTTGGTCTAGTCTGACGTAGAGAAAATATTAATACTAGTAAGGTATTCGTAAAATTTGTATGAATTAAATCTGTAGTGCAGTTATTTATTTAATTAATTAGTTGTTTATTTCACACAAACACTGAGTAGTTCCCCCTTAAAATCCCCAGGTGATTTTTCTCAGTCAAGTGATATAGATTATATGATTAAAAACCTCAAATTTTCCCAAAGTTCATAAAAAGGCAATGATTATTTTTTTCGGAATTATGTAGTAACTTGTAAGGAAAGAAATGTACATGTCCGTTTTAGATGCAAAAGGTTGTAGCTGTTATTTCAGACTAAAGTCTCGTTAGTGACGGTCCACAGTACTCAATTAGTATGAAGGATGTCTCTATTTCCGTTCCCGGAGGCTACAATTTTATAGTTCCACGTAGGAGAAATCGATAGCTGAAAGCTCGGCTTATTGCGACTTTCCATTAGACGGGTTGTGCTTAATTTATCAACGGTAGATTTGTTGAACTCTGGTCCTTTACCTTTGACCCGATAGATTTTTATTTCCAACTACAACATCTCTTTTCTCTATTCTCTTCGCATATACATATATGTACCAAGGATTACGTAATGAAATAAAGTGTACAAAATGAAAATTTTCTTAGTAATCATTTGTTTAATATAACTTATATCATTTCAATTCTGCATTTAATTTCTATTTCTATTGTGCAATATAATATCATATATAATACATAAATATGAATTATAACATACAATTATACACGTATTAAATTAATGTTCGAATATTGTGTTCATCAAATTATTGTTCCAAATGGTTAATTGGAAGAATTATTAATGGAAATATATGATGTAGTCGGAAAGAGAAAGGGTGATGAAGATCTAATACATCTAATAATAATTATGGTATAACATAAAATACAATTGAATAAGAAAATTTTCGTAGCGTTTTCATGTTAATTTTGTAAAATAGTATTGCTTATAAAATACCATGTCGTGAGATATAAAACAAAAAATACATACACACCAAATGAATAACAAAATGTATGTTATGATTTTTGACGGACAGGAAGAATTACTATTTAGATTTCATTGTTCTAATTAATATTACAGACGTTTTATTTTGTATGAAAATTATCTAGTCTGTAATACATTTATAGATACAAGTCATGACTTACCCGCGGGTTAATACGAGCGCAAAGATTTTATTGTTATTTAAATCCCTGTATTATATGTAATAGTTATGAGAGCGATATTCCACAATTTCTTAAATTGCACGATCAAGGTGACTTTTTCGTTTTTTAAGAGCAAATCGATCAGTACGCCCTGATTACGAAAGATATTTTCGGAGGCCGTCGAACATGTATGCTCCTGGAACGAGCTGATCGAAACCCGTTTTCAGGGTTTCGACAATGAGCGCAACACTTTGCTAAAGTTGCAATTTTTCACGAATCCGATATAGACTATACAGATTTCTTTGTATAGATGAAACAGATAAGATGAATAAGTTGAGACTCAAATGAAAATTGTATACAAATGTATGTTTAATTTGAGATTATCATATAATATAATTTGAGATTATCATATGATATACTTAATAACATACTACATGATATAATGTATACATACACATTTTTATAAAGTATATATACATTTATTTTGATACATTTATTTTGGTAATATATCAATAATGCGTTGAAATAATAAAGTGTGCAATTTCAATATTTGTTACAAACCTGTGGAGAGGCGGTTCGCTGCCGCTTGTAGCTCGTGTTTTTTTTTATTCAAGAGATCACCGTAGCCGGAAAGTAATTCCAGATACGAGGTGGGTGTAACATAATTGTGCCGTGTCAGTTCCTACGCAATAACATTTCTCTTTGTACTAAAATTATATTAACGGGAAGAGAACAATACCCTTCTATACCGAATAAACCGGATATTTCTCCCAGTATAACAAGGAATTATGTATTTAACTAAAGAACGCTAGAAGAAGCTATCAAACTTCTGTACGATAGTGTTTCACTTTTAACGTATATAAGTATACATACAGGGTGTTTGTGAAATCGTGGTACAACCGGCAAAGGGATGATCCTTCACATAAAATCTAGGAATCTAGTTTTTTCATACGGGGCGTCATTTTCGAGAAAATCGAGTTTGAAAATTCGTTAGGTACGCGACTTTAATTAATAATTAGCCGTAAATTTCAATAATTGATTTATTCTAGTAAATTACAAATGTTGAAAATGTCTTCCTTGCTGTTGTAGGCAAATTCTTGCTCGACGAATTAGTGAAACGTGAACCGAAACTAATGTGTTCGAGTTTTTAACTGCTTCGAATGCCTGAACGATATTACCTTTTAATTGGTCCCGATTTTCATTATTTTCGGCGTAAACTATTTCTTTCACGTGACTCCACAAATGAAAATCTAAAGAAGTAAGATCTAGCGTTCTCGGGGGCCACGCAACAGTTCCACCTCAGCCAATCGAATAGTTGTAACTCTGGTTTAATAAGTAAAAACACGATTTTCTCGAAAATTACTCCCCGTATGAAAAAACTACATATGTATATTCCTTGTTTTCGATTAGATTTTATATGACGAATCATCATCCCCTTGCCAGTTATATCACGATTTTGCAAACACCCTGTATATGTATAGTATATGCATGTGTTCGACTTCTAAAAAAAAAATGTGAGCAAAATAAATTGGAAAAGATATTCTCGGGCTTTACGGATAGATAGATACGTTTCTCACACATGCATACGCTATCAAGTAGTGAGCTACTATACATACATATGTATACATATGTAGGTATACATGTATACATATGCTTGTGATCATCTCACCTCGAAGAAGAGATCGCTCGCCTCGATCACGCTGGAGTGCATATATTGGCACATTCTGACTATCGACTTTAACACGTCGTCCGTAATGGATTCGTCTGTGATGTCGGTGAGAAATCGCATCGCCACGCTCTGAAAAAAGAAGGTAGAAGGCCATATGTAATAAGAGGGTATCCTTCAATATATGTATTCCTCCCACGTGAATCAAATAAAATTGTTGAATCTACTGTATAAAATAAAATACCACTCTTTGATCAAATGAAAAACATCTTTTGGAAAAAGTAATTATTTATTGATTTTATCAAGATATTATTTGAATTTATCATATGACAAAACTAATCGAATGAACTACAGTTTCTTATTCCCAAATGTTCAACTTTATTTTATCTGACAACAGATCTCAAATGTCGTATAATGAATAGTAATCCTGTCGGGAGCAATGAAGGATTCGTCAGTAAATCCGATCAATTGTACTGTAGTTTATAAACTTGTGTAAATCAATGAGCCTGTATAATTTTGACTGAACGGTTTTGTTCGCAGGATGAGTATTACACGTTTCTAATTACGTTACCAACCTGAAGCGCAGCTTCCGGCCATGGACAGAACCAATCGATAGTACAGCAGTTCACCAATGCTGGGAATTGTCTGATGCGAGCGCGGAATGTCTCACCGATGGGACTGCGAGTTTAAATGTAATTACATTATTACTCTCCTTTGTTTGTATCCTTGTACTTTCGTATGGGTTTATTGATCGTGACAGACATAATATATAATGCATAAATGGAACTACTATTTTACAATTAGCATTTCCTATCGCGGCTTCGTCCGTAATACTTTTGTTTCAGTAAAAGAGTGGAAAAGGAACTTTTGACTCAGAATTTCGACCTCCTTCACACAACCTCAGTAGAAAGTCGTGCATTCTGGGACACCTTGTAAATGTCTCAGAGATATTTTTATTGGATAGAATACGCACACTTAAGTAATATCAATTCTGGTAGTGAAACAGTGAATATCAATCCTGTAATCAATTACATAATAGTAATCGTGTATATATTTAAGTAATCAGACCATGAATCATGAACAGTGTCAATAAAATTGTTCTTCAAATCAAGGAATAGAGACAATTTTTATGTAGTCATTGAGAAATATGACATGACAGGTGATCCGACTTTAAAGGTTTCATTCAAGGATTAGTTAGATCAAAGGTTTTATTAAATTTACTAAAGGATGAGACGTGTATAAAGTTTACACATGTGTTTTCGAAGTCTAGCAGGTGGCATTGAAAGCCTCGACCTCGCTACACTTGAGTAATTACAGTTCCATTGTACTTGTTTACGCATGAACGAGGCACCCCGTTCTCTACTGAAAATGCAGAACGGAGTCTGATGATGCCACGAATTCCGAATCTCCGTTCAGCGTGTTCACGTAATTTCCGGTGATATATAGGGTGTCCCAGAAAAAGTGTTAGAGCCGAAAAAGGGTGATTCTGGAGGTGTTTTTGAACAACAATTTCCTTTGGTAAAATATAAAGTGAGCCATGGTTTTTGAATTATTAACAAAAAGGACTGACCAATCAGAGCATGCGTAGGGTCGCTCCTAGCCGCTGGTAGGTTGGCTCGGGTCGTAACGCTCGGTCGTGGTTCAGCGCGGGCCTTACACGCGTTTTTATTGGTCAGTGTTTTTTATTAATAATTTAAAAATTAAAGGAAATTGTTTTTCAGAAGCACCTCAAGAATTATCTCTTTTCGGCTCTAGAATATTTTCTGGGACACCCTGTATTGCACCCCACTGTGAAACACGCAAATTAAGCTACTGGAAATGATAATTCACAACGTGACACAAAATAATACTGTTCATCGATCATCTCGTCGTCACTGACAAATGATACCGCATCCCGGGTCGTCACCTTTCATCGTTTACCAAACGCTCTCTAGATTTCCTTTAAGACATGTGTAGTTTAATTTCAATCCAGTATTTCTTAATACATATAGTATAAATTTCTTCGAGTGTATAAAATCATTTGTCAATTTTCTTCAAGTACTAAATTACAATGTGTGGCACGTGATGGATGATACGTAAATTATGTACGTCTAAGACATTAGTATAGTGCCTATACTACAAATGCAAAATGTTCACTCTAACATTTCCCAGACATTTACAACGCAATTTAATTAAACTCGCCTACACTTTACGAATCGATATAAAACGTTTTTCTGCAGATGAATTCCTTAATCCGGATTGCCGGCAGCATACCCTTATTTGTGAATTAATCCTTACAATTACACTTTGACAAAGCACAACAGATTTCCTCAGAACTCTTGAAATAAATAAAAGTAAAGCGTTGCGATTGATAGATTATTTCAGGCGATTGTTCTTGTACCTTGATCGATAAGAATTTTAAACACAGCAAAAAGAAAAGCAGATTTACGTTGTCCAAGTTTTTGTTAATATATTTAAGGCATTCTCAGTAATCGATATCCATATTTTTCCACTCGAGTGATTTAAATATTTATTATAAGATTCTAAATTTATAAGTTTTTCTTTTATAAAGTAAGAAGGCTATTAATTGTTCTAAAGACTAGTTAGTGAAAAGGAGTGTACATATAGACAGTACGTAAACATGCACGTAGCCCTATTATCTGATGCGACATCCACCTCCATATGAATAGACTCTTGCGCGTGACGCCTTTCATACATCATCAGCCATCGTTGTTCTCTTTATATCTCCAATTACCTCAAAGTGGAAATCCGTGGGGTGTTCCAAGGATATGTTATGAGTAAAAAAATATTGTGATTCTAGATACTCCCATTTATATCTCATTTCGCAGTACGAATTACTAATTTTTAGACTGTAGATTTCGTGCGAGCATTCTTTGCAATAAAATATTAGTAAAGCTGTTTCCAAGGATTATAATATAAATACTACATATGATAATAATAATAGTAATAATAATGATGATAATGGTAATAATAATAATAACAATGATAATGACGATGATGGTGACGACAATGATGAATCTGTATAAGATAAAATATGTAGGAATGTACATGTGTTAATCCGAAAATACTAAACAATGAAAAGAAGAGGCAAAATTCAAGAGACGAGTTGTGCCTATACTGCCTACCTCATAGTAATTACGACGTGCAAATTGTTGCGGACCATTTTCACGTACGCAGAGAACAGGTTGCTTCTGTTTATTTGTAACCCGGCCTCCTGCACATGTCCACGCATCGAGTGGAAGATCCGTTCCATCTCGTCCATCTTGTAGATGTTCGGCACGTCGCCGTTGTTTAGGATGCTGTTTAGGTCCTCTAACATGGAATCGTCCTTTATCTATAGAGGGTGTCCCAGAAAAAGTGTTAGAGCCGAAAAGAGGTGATTCTGAAGGTGTCTCTGAACAACAATTTCCTTTGACAAAATGCAAAGTTAGATTTGGTTTTTGAATTATTAACAAAAAACACTGACCAATGAGAGCACGTGTAGGGCTCGCGCCCAGGCACGGTTGGCTCGGATCGTGACGTACAACAACCAGTATCTATATGCACTATGTACCGGAGCTGATTCAGTACGGTTGGAATTTGCCCTTGTTTCACGCGCGTTCTACGCGTGTAATTTCCTCTGATATCAGATACTCGTAAATGGTGTGCGAATATTTGAAAATGTGATAAATGTGAAAATGTGATACAAAATTTATAATAAAAATAATATTTGTACTAATCTATGGTTTACATTGAATAGACTGTCGTGCACTTATAAATCATTGAAATATGTATTGTAATCCTACAAAGGTACGTTAAATAGGAAATTAAGAGTATGTGCGTATCGAAGGGTTTGGAAGGAAATTGGGAGATATTGCAAGCGCGTTCCATCCCTACCACGCTAATTACCGGCGAGAACGGCATCAACCGGAGATCGATTGCCGAATTCAGTCTCTTCCACGAAAGCCTGTGTCAATTTAAGGAACGATCCAGCGAGAACAAAGGTTGTGGAATGTATATATAGATTAAATTATGTGTGGAGATGTGAGGAAGGAATTCCGGATCCAAAGATACTGCGTTGCGACCGTTAGTACCGAGTGAAAGGAATGTTTTGATTTACTAAAACATGCTTCAGTCCGGGAAATTTACATTGATTCGATTCGGATCGAGTGGAAATTAAGATTCACATTAAATGCATTGCTCATTAAGGAAATTAGAATCCATTTTGTCTCTACAACTCACGTCGAGTCCTCCTGTTTGATTTGGAGACCCTTTCGTCCTAATTTCTAACCGAACTCCTACTCAGATAATTTGGTTTCGGTATAAAAGTATATTCATTTAATTAAAATCGTCAATTTATCGTTTCTAATGAATGTTCTTATTGTCTCACCCTGTACAGTAACTAAATGTTGTCGAAGAATACTTTATTTTATATAGACGTATCGGGATTTTTCGCGATTTTCACTGGTTCATCGATAAAAAGCTGATAAAAGATAACAGCGTGAACACCCTGCATACAAATTGACGTTTTCGAGGGGCAAAACAGGGAGAGAAATTCGGGGTTGAGAACGATAGAAGGAAATACCGGGAGACGAGGACGAATGCCAGGATAAGAATATCTCCCCTAGGCTCATGGATGTATTAAGTCTAAACCATTACGTGGGTGAAGCAGGAAACGAGCTATTAGGATGCGTATCGAATTTCCTTCCCGACACTGAATGCGCTTATTCAACTCCATATTTTATAACGGGTATCGTGTTCCGTTATACAATTACTCTTGTTTCGTTTTTTGGTTGAATTTTGATAAATTCATCAAATATGTGATACTTTGATAATCATTAATAATTATGTGCAGTAGGAATTAATAAGAGTAATCATTTAGAATCATTAATCGGCTGGTGATTGTGTTAAAAACTGGATATTGGATGAGATATTAAATACGATGACTTGAATCAATTAAATGCATTGTAACATGTTGTACAACATGATTTATCGAATTATATTTATTGTATTTTATACATATATCTACAAGTCGTTTGATGAGGAATTTGATTAGTACCTGTGTATCAGAGAAGATGAAGACTAACGACTGACCCTGGACGCCAGCTTTCATCATGATACCTTTAATGTCGTCGCGCCAGTCGTTGGACGTGTACGCGCTGCTCAATTCGATTTGAAAGCAATCGTAATCTTGTATGTGCGAAGCCAGCCTTGTCAAACTTTGTCTGCCTGAATTTAGATAATTAAAAAGATATTCAGTTGATTATAAAAATTTACAAAATAAATATACCATGACATTATGATATTATATTTAACTGTCTACATATAGTATTTATGAGATTATAGAAATCTGTAGCTGCCCAATAAGCATGTGAAATTGTATAAAACATTTGTAAAATTATAGAAATACGTATTTCATGAGATTATATGTACAAGACATTTGATAAAAATATCTACTTGTAGATGTAAATATATATTTACAAATGAGTATTTATCTCAACACACCTGGACACTCGTGTAATTTATTCGTTTACTGAAAAAAAAGGGGGGAAATAATCTTCAAGCTATTTCTCAAACGGGAAAGACGTGAAAGAAAGAGAGGGGAGAGAATGCTCCGGGGACGTTAATGTCACTTTTTCTATATCACCTGATCCTCCCATTCCCAGGAGCAAAGCGTTTCCCCGAGGTTGTCGCAGAATTCGATTGATCCTGCAGATATGATCTATGGCATCTTGAAACAGCACCAGCTTCATAGGGGTTGTCGACGCGCTATTGTAATCTTCTAGAAATTCGTCCAATACGTGTTCCATCTGTAAACGTGACAACGACTTACCATTACATTACAGCTATCACTCATATTAATACTTATCTTATCCAAAGATTAAAAACTAAATAGTGAAACAAAAATGAAAAATGATGAAGTACTTATGAATGAGTATACTTTTTCCAAGTCAGTTATTTGGAGGTATTCTCTTGTGGGCCCAGAAAAATCACCGTAGAACAGCATTTTCTCGCCGATGACATGCTCGGGCTCGCACTCGAAATGCTCTCTCATTGTGTTTCGCAAAAGATGATCGAACCACTTCCGGTCCGTGTCGTTTATCAAACGATCACTGAATACCCGCACGTTCTCGTGGTACCAAAGCAGTAACAATGTGTCTCGAAGCTGCAGCCAAATCGGTTTGCAAATAATACAGCCACAGTATGCATAATAAATGACCATATAAAACAATAAATTAAACTCTATTTTATATAATCTTTCAATGCAATCTGATGAATGAATTCATTTTTGTAATTTTATTTAAAAAGTCATCGTTGCGGATCAATACGTTATCTCGTGATTCAGTGTTATGAATATAAATTTTCTATTTTGCATTGTATTCAACGTACTTCTACTTTTTCTGGAGTCATCATAAGCATACCCTGAAACACTTTGCTGAGGTCGCGTAAATTGAAAGTGTAATGGGACTTGTGAGGCGTCGGAAGTAGTTCCTTGCAAATTGTAGAGAAAATGCTTAGCGTTGTATCCACGAAAGTGTCCATCATTCCAATAAACGGTGTCATTGAGAGCCACGCATTCAGAATCGTTCCAAAAATGTGTTTCTGAAATAACGAGTTTTCAAAAGATTGGAAAGAAAATGAAATGACCATGTGAATGAAAGTATGTGAAGATACGTATGTGTAGATTTCAGACACAGATGAAAATTGAATTAAAAAAGACATTTAAATGTTCAACTTCCCTGAATATGTACTGTTAATTGTTTTACTTCAATGTCGAACTGTATTTACTTTATTTATAATATTTATTGCAGGATTTATGTATATAATTCATGGTTTCAATCATGAAGAAAATATACACATATCTATTGAGATTAAAATTCTGTAAAAATATATGTAGACGTTTATCCGCCTTGTGCTCTTAGGATCTTCTATTTTACAGTTATATAAATATATGATTTAAGGTTTATCACTGTAGAACATTAATGGAGTCATTAGGTGTTAGAAAAGGAGAGCGGTTGACGCAAAGTAAACGTTAACTTGAGATCAATTTAGAGTCAGCTGCATGGGAAATGCGCGGCTGGTATTTACAAGGGAGAAAAGGAACGTAAACATTTGAAAAGAAGTTAAACGGCATAAAAGAAAGTCAATTAAGAAACGTAAAGACTAATTCACTTCAGATGATTATAAAAGACAATTACAAAGGCAGTTATGCGTACATCGTATCAGCCTTATTACTCATAAAAGTACTGATAAAAATTCCATTGTTGCTGGTACGTTTATCCCTTTTTTCAAATACTTCCACGGCATACTTGACACGAATACACCGAGAATATTTGCAAGGTAACGCGCCCCTTCGACCTTGCTCGATCTCGTTTAAAACGCAGGATTGCGTTGGGGGATTCGAAACGCTCATTATTGTCGATTCGAACAGAGTGATCAAGACGAATTTATGGCGGCCATTTTCAATATTTACGAGGCCTAATTGCAGCAAACCACCGTAGCCGAGGCAGAGGTCAAACATTAGCGGCCATATTTCGTCTCTTTCACGAGCCACAATTATTATTCTGCGTGGGTGTGGATGCGAAGGGACTTGGATGGAATGGAATAAAACTGGATTGAAATGAATGGACGACGGGGTCGCAACTCCTGAAACTTAACCATCGTTTTAAGAGGATTGGAAGATTCATTTGTAAAATAATCCTTCCAGATGAATTCATTTTAAATTAAATGGGAAGGTACAAATTTTTTAAAATCTCTACTGTACAACATGGGACAATGTTTCTCGACCCGTTTTTGATGGTATTAGTTTACGCAACATAATAATTTCACATTATAAAGAGATACAATTATATACTTGTTCCATTGATTCATTCTATTGCACAGCAACTATTTATAAAATAATTTGCTTAACGCATGACCTGAACGATGACGATTTTAAAGGGAGGGAGACGTGAAGTTTTGACACGGGTCGAAACTAGACGAAGATAAATTATTTTCTCGACTGCCGACCTTTTTCTTAATTACTTCCTGCTCCTGATAATTGTCATCTAACGAGCAGGCGGGCTTTTGGTGCGACGGGTACGCAGTAACTATCGGGAAAGAAGGAGACGGGGAAAACCTCTGATTCAGGTATTACCTTGGCGTCGTCCTCCATTTCCGGGAACGCAATGAAATGGAAATGTCGCAACAGTCTGGCACTTATTGGATTTCTACCGCCGCCGGGCGGTCCCATGGCCCCCACGAAGTTCACATCTTCGATATGTCTAAACGAACCGATCTCCTTTCGGTCGTACCAACCTAAAGACGTTTATTCATATTTTTTCTTAGCTTATTCATCCGGTACATTATAAATTCAACTTGCATATTAATTGTTTTTGACAATTTTATTTTGTATTAATATTAATTGCATCCTGTAGCCTACTTAATCATATTCCACGTTAATATTTTCTGTCCGTATTACCTTTAAAACCCATGAACTGCCGGATCAATTCAATGGGGGGTTGGGTGCCGTACGTATCCAAGGTGGGCATGTTTAAATCGTCAACGAAAAATACTTGTTGTCGTAATAACGGTGGACCGAACACGTCCCGTCCCCTTTTAGACAATTTCTCATCGACTAAATCCTTTTCCATGATAAGAAAAACAAGTTAGAAATACTTTCTGTATTAATATTTTATTTATACTTAAAACTCGACTAATTTGATCATTATTAAGTAATAATATTTAATGCAAGAAAAGAACAAATACTAATTACGAGGGTAACTTTCCATGAAAGAATTTTTCGTAACGTTTTTTATTTATAATTATTTTAATTATTTAAAGAAAAGAATGGCTTGTAATGACTTAAAATTTACTTGAGTTTGATTAGCGGTGGTCCTAGCGGAAAAAGTAATGAAATCGCAGATGAACTTCTTTGGCATGTTCCTTTGTAGTTTCGCGCTCACTGTTAACGTTTTCCCACTACCAGTTGGTCCGACGCACAATGGATTCGATCGATTGACTAACAGATATCCGATCAACGCCGCGCATCTCACGCTGTCCATTGTTGGCACTTCAATATCTGTTTCATGTTTGATCTGATGTTTTAACATACTACTTCACTATTCAAATTTCGTAATCTTATATCCGCATCGTTTGATTTCTATAGTTATTCTATATTTTATAGTTTTCTGGTTTTTATGCATAATGCATCGTATGTATCCTTTCACATCCAAATTTCCTACAGATTTATGTATAAAAATTCTTAGTCTATACATTACATTATACAGTATACGTCTTGTGTACATTCTTTACTTTATACATTCGTATAATGCATATACAGGGTGTTTGCGAAATTGTGGTACAACCGGTAAGGGGATGATTCCTCAGATAAAATCTAGCTAAAAAAAAGCAATGTAGTTCTTTCATACGGAGCATCATTTTCGAGAAAATCGAGTTTGAAAATTCGTTAGGTACGCGACTTTATGATTTATTCTAGTAAATTACAAACGATTGCAATATGTTATATTACATTATAAAATTACTTTACCTGCGAATTTCGTGTCCGCTGTGATAGTAACCGGTGCAACGTCATCTAGCCATTTGTACCATCTTGGTGGAACGGGCTCGTTGCCGTCAATCGCGTCGGTGAATCCACCATCGTGCAATCTACAATATTGAAATATGGAAAACGGCAAAAATGGTTTTTGAGACAAAACAAATAAACGGTTCGTTTGGTCACCTGTAATCGAATACGAAACCCTCTTCTGGGAACGGTATATCGAGCTCGTTGTCTTTCTGTACCTTTTTAATCCACTCACTGAAAAAACGGCGGCCTTTGTAATCACAGCTCGCGCCTAAACTCCAAACGGCGGCGAACGCAGCCCACGGCGACAATAAGTCAGCTAGAATTCAATACATTGCCAAATTGGATTATTATTTGTATATGTATATTGTACATACAATATGTGGAGAATAAAACAGATTCTCGTACATATGTGAAAAAATAAACTTATTTTGGCTTGTATAAGAATGAGAATAACAAAGCTTAACCCATGGCAATAAAAGTTACGTTTAAGTACTTCTTTTTAATGCGTTTTATAATGTATTTTATATTGTGTAAGATTCAAAGTGGTATATTAAACCGACTAGTACAGTTTATGATGGTTTCACTGCAATTCTTCAGTAGTATAAGTATATAATTGAGAAGACGTAATAAGCAGTACAACTCACGAATGGCGCGACATGGACAAACATTTATACTTTTCTAAGCGAAACTTTTGTGATTTTTGTCAATCGTAACAAATAGAGATGTTACATCATAATACCAAAAATCGTTACGCATTAAGTCATGTTCTATGTCAGTATGTATCCCAATATCTTATGTAACTTTGAGAGCAGTCTTCACCCCTTTGATGCCCAAGTTTGTCGATAAAAAAATACGTGTCAAACATTTTGGTAAGGAATACGTCTCTCATCAAAATCGGTGATTGACAATTCGATATGTTCCCTTGTAAGTTTTTAAGCTTTTGTAAGCGAATTACTGAGAGGTACTGTATCGTAGTCTTACGAATCAGTTGTTGAAATGCAACAGCAGGCGGTGGTTTTCCATCCCGGCCAGCCATCGGGCCGATCCGGAAATTCATCAGATTTATGTAGGAATGTACCATACCGCAATCGACTGTACCCACGATCTCCCTTAAATTGGTTCGTAGAATCTTTAATCCCGGCAATAAAAACAGATTTGTCAATCTTGATATCTCCTCCACGTAATTATTCATATTCTGAAATTCGTTCAAATAATTTATTATGGGAGGGCGATAGACACGCGTAATTCTAAGCTGTAGTGAAAAGTGAATAAAACGAGAGAAAAATCGAACAAAATAATTTAGAAAGTAGATCTAAATGGCTAGTGAGAGCAGAATTACTAGGTGGAGGCTCTCAAAGTGTATGACAAGTAGCAAAAATGTGATCGACGACACCAAACCTCAATGATGGACTTGAAACCCACGATTAGACAGACCGATAGCCCAGATCAAATCACATTATCAATATTTGACAAATTAATGGAAAAAATGGATACCATAACCGTAGAAATAAAAGATGTAAAAGATGAAATGAAAGAAATAAGGAGCGAATACACGTCTCTAATAGTAGCTATAAAAGAAGTCTCAGAATTAAAAGAAAGGATAGAGGAGAGAGAAATAATTTATTATTATTATTGTGTTATTTACTTTATTGAATGTGCATTAATTGAAGTAGAAGACAGTAAAAGGATTATAACATTGTTCTGCGATGTATGAGGTATATGTACATGTACATATGTATGTATAATGTAAGTAATATCTATTAAATATAATTTTCATAATTATGTTAAAATGTTGTAATTTTATGTATAAGAATAAATTATATTTTTAAAGTATTACTTTTATAATTTATTTTCTAATATCGTCTCAATATTCTCTGCTTTTGTTTTTTATTTAATGGCTTACTTTCGGTAATCGTTTTAACCAGCAATTGATGAGTGGCTGAAGCCCCATTGCTTCCGGTTCCAGATACACCATGCCACATCTACAAGGAAATGGTTAATTAATGATATTGATTTTGTATAAGTCCACAGTCGATCTGATCTATGAATCCTTCCTTTAAAAAGACAAACCAAGAAAGACCAAAGGCAAGTTATTAGGCATATAGAACTGACCTTGAAACAGTAGCTGGCGAAGCGACCCTCAGATCGGCCACTTCGAACATCATTGTCATCGTGGGTAGAATCTTCATTATCTCACCTGAGGTCAAGCAAAGTTTCTTGTTATCGTCCAACACGGTGTTCATGTTCTCGATCCACAATGCATCTACCGGGCCGTCGAATATATACCATCTTTTGTTGGTATCACTTGCCGCTATCCCGACTCTCAAAAGCGTAGAGAAAATACCGTCGGTCCTTAAAAAAATAAAATTCTACGTATTAATATCGATCCCTGTTAAATCATTTCTTGTTTCATTATTATACTTCTTATGATAAATTTACTTATTATATTTATTTAAAAATTGCTTTTCATCAATTAAAATGAGAATTACGCTCAAAACATCGATGAGCGCGTGGTACAACTTTTAAATCCATTTCACTCAAATTTTACATAATTAATTGAAGCAGGTGAGTTTATATTGATTTTTACGTAATTTAGATGAGTACAATTTTTACTAATATTAAAATAAAGTGAGAATGATAGTTAATGGAGTAGGTAATAAAGGAGAAATTGGCGTAAAAAATTCACAAACCGAGAACGGGCCACTCAATCATCGTTGGCTCGGGGACTCGAAAGGTTTCACTTACCATTCGCGCGTGTTCAAATCGTACTCGCCGTACAGTTGACCCATTGTAATTGATTTCGGGTTTAAAACGAACGTCAGTACCGGTGTGAATGGTTTACCGCTCGGCTGCAGCTGCCCTCTCAATTTCGTGCAAGCTTCTTTGAGGACTTCATAGCACTGTGCCAAATAATAAGATATGTAATTGTTTTCTGGAGGTTATTTTTTTATCATTTATTATTATAAATAAACTATACGAAAAATGTCAGCTTTGGTACCATGAAATTCTTTTTTACATTCTTCAACGCGGAGGTGGCTCTACTACTCCCACCTCCACCCGAAAAGTGGCAGCTGAAGGTCGTTCCTTGTATGTACCATAAAAACGCTTATATACGGGTGAAAATCAGCCTTGGTTCGATCACTACCCTCAAAATGTCGCGGGCTCCCGGACTAATACGTATAAGGTTTCGCGAGCTGCTCGTAAATTGAAAATGGTTGCGTGAACTCGGTGAGTGACGGGTTACTCAACATCCACTAATACCTAACAATGAGTTTTATGTATGCACAATGTACACGTATAATACATAGGTATACATAGTGTAGAACGACATTAAACTATTGTCATGCATTAACCCCTTACCGTACTATTTAGCTCAACAAAATCCGTGTCCAAACTTGTGATGTCTACGTTTGGCCCGTATTTTCACGAGCCTGACTCGTCAAAGTACGGCAAGGAGTTAAAGCAATCTGAGTGCAACAGTTTACACAAGGGCATTCTAGAAAAAGTGTCAGGGTCGAAGAGGAGGTGATTCTGTTAGTGTTTCTGAACAACAAGGCATTGTAAGTGCATTTTGTTTGATAATGCCCAACACATCTTAACTTCGGTGATCAGACGAGAATCGGTGTTCATCCTGCGTGGGTTGATCGTTGTAAGTGCATTTTTTTACCAAGTTTAAGAAAATGATTTTCACGTTTTATTACGTGTCAAACATCGTTTGTGAATGAACCGCAACGGGAACTTCTCAAGAATCGATGGAGATCGTGGAATGAATGAAAGGAACGACGCCGAGGGTTCGGTACAGTGGCAGAGAACCTCGAAAGGCGCATGCGGGTGAAGTTGACGGGTGGCAATAGCGGCGAATTCGTCGGGAACGGCGGATCCCGTTTTCAGTTTACTCAACGACGTTTATCGTCGCGTCACGCTTCGATTCCGCTCAGAATAGCTGTCCGCGTTCGTCTACCAACGCAAACTTTCTGCTTCATTATTCATAAAAAAGATCCCACGGGGAAGGTGGAAAAATGTTTATAAACAATGAACATGTTTCATTCAGTGACATGTGTGCATTTAATTAAAAAAGTAACGAAACAATTTTAATGATAAATAGATTAATTATAATATTAAATGGAATAAAAGGACTAAATGGATAGACAATCGTAATTGCGTTTAATTTAGTGATACGTGTGTGTATAATTTAAGAGAAAAAATAATAAACGAATTTTAAAAATAAATGGACAAGTAGACATTTATAACAATATAGTAATTACCATAAATTATGGTAATAATTAATATAATATAAAATATAATAAAATATGGTAATAATTAATGAATAATTTATTATAACTATTAATTCAGAGTAAAACTAGTTATAAATTGTAATAAATAATTCGATAAATCTGTTAAATATCAGAAAAATTCTCAAGATTTTGGCGAAGAAATCCTCATCAAATATTGTTACAAAACTGAGATTGTGTTTTATGAAGAAAAAGGATAAGATAAAATGTAATAGATAATAATCCGCACAATTCTAACATATAAGATGACGAATCATTGAAACAAAATGACGAAATTAACAAATAAGAACAGATTTGACGAGTGAAAATCAATGTTAGAGGAATTTTGTTGTTTATTCAGCGTTAAATTAAGAGATACAATATATCACAAAGGGACGAACTAAATAGTGCATAGCCTGATTCTAGTTTATCTAGAAATGTGAAATAAATTAACAGAGAGAAGAAACTAAATTGAAAAGTTGATATTCCGTGGACAACTGTCGCATCCTGTCGAAACGAGTCGTTGAACTTTGGATAACACGTTTCAACCCTGCTTCGCGTGTATATATTTGTATACAACGACTACGTTAATGTCAAGGCCAGCGTTGGACTCCGAAAAAATGAAAGGATTTGTTGCAGCGATTTCAGTGAACTGAGCAATGCGCTGGATTCACCTGAACACATATAAATAGGTACACGAATGAACAGTCTTAACTTTTGTCTATATAAATAATCTAACAATCAAACACTACTTTTGCTGTAACGATAAAACATACGTACATGTTGTTTAATGTTGCCTGTAAAATACGAATGAACAATGTGTCACGATTTCTCAAGGAAATTGGACAAGTTGTTTTAATATGAACCATGTATCATTGTGAGTCTAAGTTAAGTGATTTTATTTTATGGTTCGACATACGTACATAAAAATGTTATTTGGTTAGGCATCTCGTTATCGCGATTCATGTAAATTGAGAGAACCGTTTCAAGAAAGCCGAATCATACATCAGAAATGCACGTCTTACTAGCCAGAGCAAAAGGATTATCGTGAAATTGCCGAGAACAGGGAAAGAATTAATGAGATCTGCTTCCTCGAGAAAGGAAAGCGAAACGAGAGACGAATACTGTTGTGAATACGCATTTGAAATTGAAATTGGATGCGATTTGAATTACTAAAGATTATTTAATCATAATCGGGCAGTTAATGCGTAAAATTCTATTACTCCCAGCGAAGAGGAGGGAGATGTTCTTTATCAGCGAAAAAATAACAAATCTGCCGGTAGTAAAACTACGAGCGTGAGTCGTGGAAAAGACCCACCTGCTTCACCGGAAGAGCGGATAAGAAGCTTGGATAGTTTGTACGAGTTGAAAGAAAATAGAGAAGTGAAAGACCGAGGGGAGAAAGTTTACGACAATTAAAGTGGAGGATGAAGATAGCAACGATTAAAGAGAAAAGAGTGATCGTATTATGACTAAAGAATAAAGCTAAACAAAACACATCTGTGGCGTTTAAACAAAACAGGTAAATCAGTCTCTGATAGCAAATTTAGAAAAGAGAAACAAAGGACAAATGTTAAGGCGATAGTCGTGCTACAGAGAGGTATCCAAAAATTCGCTGTGTGTAGATACACAAATGCCACCTGAATTTCTTATTAATAATGAGAGCAGAAAGTTTTAAATATAAGCTTAAACCAGCTTCTAACTTTTCTCCTCTTTTAAGCGCTTGTTGTTTTCCTCTGTTTCATACAAATTCTACGCAATTTTCGCGATGCTCTTACTTACAAACGATGACGCTGACTACTCCCATTTGTTTAATGTAAGTTGTTTTCTGTAAATATTCTAAAAGCAGTCTTTATGCTAAAATAAAAAATTTCAGTTTTGTGAGGGATATTAGAATTACATATGAAAAATTGAAATTTAGAGGATGAATATTTCGCTCATCATGACGCTAGGCTTCCTGTCATTTTAACAATTGATAAATTATATGTATAGCATAATAGTATCATTAGCACACGGTAAAAATTTAAAAAAGATCATAAGGAACTTAACTTTTGTGACCATTACCTTAACAAATAACGAATAGGAAGGGATAGATGAGTAAATATTTGTTAAATCAGGATCGGAAAACATACGTAAAGTAGGACTGAAAATTCGAGTCGTTGGTAAGGATGAGAAAAATTGGTAGAGCGTGAACATTTGTAATATTTAATCATTTTCATGTTCAATTATGTGCTCCTTGAAATGGAAATAATTTCAAATTTCTCAGTTGGGTCAGTGAGATTCTGTCTGATTAAATTCCATTCGTTCTTGTTGTTTTTCTAATATATCCGCGTCGAGGCCGCGGCTCAGAAGGAAGTCCAGCTACATTCCACCGCACATTATTTTCGTATCGCAGTTGCGTTTATCTGTACAGACAATGCCAATGTCGCGATGCGATATATATGTATGTATTGCAGGACGATTCATAGCCGACGCATCGTTACAAAACCTTCGAACCGGATCCATCGACACTTCCAGGATAGAACGTGTCGCGGCTGTTTCGGTTTCATGGATGATCTACTCTTTTAGATAGAAATGTCTCGAGTGACATTATAGAAGACACAGAAGTAGATTCGTAACTTATTAATCAGGCGTGCAGGACATTAGCTAACAATTCTAAATGAGTAATAAATAATCATAAATGAATCTACAATTTAAATGAAATTTAACGATGTTGAAAGAACAGATTAATTGGGTTTGCGAAACAATCGACACAAATACAAATTATTTAATGAAATGCATTTGATTTAATTTTCTTAATTCGGAATATCGACTATCTGTGTTTTCATTTTCTGTTCCTATTATCAAAGCTCATTAATCGGATATTGGTATAGTAAATAATTCGGAAGCCTTTTGAAATGAAACTCGTAGTTAAACGCAGTAGAAACGATTATCCGAATTGATAATCCGAACGTATTACGCGTTCGCCGGCCTGTAGATAATCGTATTTAATAGTTCTGGTGATGATGATCGTTTAGGTTTGGGAAAAATTTGGTGGATGAAATGTATCTTAGCTGTTTACAATTAAAATGTTTAAATGAAAAAAAATTTTTATTATACCATGTTTTTAAAACGAAGTAAAAAGTATAAAATAATTATAAAATACTTGTAAAATTTACATTTTTGCACCCCACGTTTCTCCTTTTATATCTTATAAGTATTTTATATTTTTTAGTCCGTTTTAAAAACGTGGTGTACTAAAATCTTTTTTGTATTTAAATAATTATTTTCTCCTTTTCAATCTCTAGCTCATCGGGAAGTTAGTTTAAAATCAATTGCAAAATTTGTACCGAACAGACAGACAAGAAAGCGAGCTAATAAAAAAGTAGTAAAATGCATTGATCATTTATAGACTATAATATGCAACAATTTGAATTTGTAATTTCGATAGATTTAGGATGGAAATGACGAATTTGATCACGTTAAAGACTTGGAACTTGTCAAAATTATTAATTAGATATATTACATAATAGGCGTCTCATAATTAAAAGACGCATTGATAATTTACTCTGTCACAGACGATCTGAATTTACGATTCAGACGGCGGAAATGGCGGATAATGTGATTTGTTAATTGGACGCGTCTGACTATTCCCCAAATGATTTGAAACGACTCGTTAAACTAGGAAAGTGAAATTTAGCTCATTTGGTTGATCATTTTGGAACGTTTCTCGCTTGTCAAGATAATTTTGAAGACTTGAAACGACGCATACCCTATTCTATTCTAGTTTCCAACCGTTCTAAAATATCGCGAAATGATTTTCAATTCCCGCGCCATATTCACGAATCGCTTCGTTGAGCAAAATAAAATCGTTCAATTGGTTTCATATTTCCGTATTTATCGAACTATCAATGCTCGCGCGATATTGTCAGAATTATCGGAATAAAGTCAATAATACAGTAATTGAAACGTTAATACGTCTATTCCGATTGTTGTTGGTTCTGTCGATATCTATTTAGTCAGTTTCTTAATGTTACTTCAACTGGAAATTTTTATTTTCATGTAGCAAATATTAACAGTTGTACGGCTTTCCACTTAAATTTTTTAATCGCTGAAGAAAATATGTCCCTCGTACTTAAAAAATAATCGAAACAAAGATTCGAAATATAAAACCGAAAAATAATAGCTACAGAACCCGTTTTGAAGAGCCGAAACCGACACTCATACACATATACATACATGTGTATAAGTCAAAACCATTATGATTTTTCTTCGGTTGCCCATAACTGGGCTTTTAATATTACATCCGGGGTATCAATCGGTAGACAGTCCGGAATATTTGATGTCTCTTTCTGGCATAAAGAATTCAGTGTTCCAGAAGTTCGTATTCTTTTTCAAATACGTAATCGATATTGAGCTGGAAGAGTGGTAGACATAAAAAACTGTTCGCAATTTCCCCTTTTTTCGTGCGCAATTTGTTTTGGGGAGGACAAAGAATTTTCTGTAAAAGTGTGTAATAGGAACTGTAAAAAAAAAGAAAATAACATTGACTTTTTTTAGCAAGCACTTCTGCACAGAACATCAAAGATACTTGAAAGTAAACTGGGTAGAGTTTATACTTTGCCCTTAAGCTACACTTTATCTGTATGAGACGTAAATTAACTCTGGGTTGTTTTGACCTAGTTTAATTGGCTTATTTATCATTTCAACTTTATAATATATTATTATTTCAACGTTTACCGCAAAGAGAATATTCATTTTTCTGAGCTGATAAGAATTAAATTTATTTTTTAAACAGTCAAAATTGTGCTACCATTTTTCGAAAATAGTTATAAGTAAATTGGATTAGTTTGAAGAAATTGAAATATAATAAATAATTAAAAAAATTCCAGTTTTTACTAATAATACAATAACTTTTTCAATTTTCAACATTTTTACTAAAAATTAGTCATGTACTCTCAGAATAATATACTTTAAATGTAAATCAGTGCAATAACGATGTATCGACGAAATATAAAAAATTATTTTGCGAAAATGGATGCTCGTGATACGATGAACGCTTTGGAGGAGTCAACGTCGAGCGCCGATTTGTTGACAACAGATGCCGAGAGCGAAGCAACCGAAAAAGTCTTCAAATGCCAAGGAACCTCATTGATCCCCTCAAGGTCGCTTAATTGAATCTAAATTGAACCGACCCTCGGTCACGAGTCAAGTCTTCAAATTAAAAGACGTTGTCAGGAGAGGGGTAAGCTGATTAACATTGGGTTCGTTTAGCGCTGCTGGAAGACATAATCGAGATGACTTGTTAGACCTACTTCACACTAGCCGGTGATACCGGCACGACCGGACCTCAATTAGTCAAGATATTACCTTCAAATTAAGAAATAATTAAATTTCACCTTAACATCTGCTCAAATTCATCCGCAATATTCACACCATAGTTTGTTTCTTCGCTCATTTTTAGGGTCCTCGAATTTTAAACCTTTTTTATACTAAGTGTTACTATTGGATAGGAAATTAATTGCGGGAAAATTTTATCATGGGCGTAGGTATAGTTTAGAATTTATATGGGTTATTACTTTGATAATGTTTTGTATGGATGCTTGCTATACAGGGTGTTTCTGAAAATGTGGGCATAACATCGAGCGTAGATTCAGTGCGTTAAAATAAGAAAGAGTTTCATATGAACACTATATACATATATGATTCTCTTTCGGTGAATCAGAATTGTCCAAAAAATTTAGAAAAAAGTCACGAGTTATGTTTTCACTGCTTCAACGTCATTTATCTGAGAAATCTATTGTTGTAGGCAAGTTGGAAAGTAAATCACACTGCAAGAAGAGCAAAGAGAAGCAAGTCATGTTCTCCGTAACGTCGACGTTAAATTTGCACACGAGGTGCGTGATGGATCAATCGAGCTTAGACGCCTCGCCGCGTTCCAAGCGTTCCGTATCTCCAACCATGTGGGCCAATTTAACGCACTACGGCTATTGGAACAGAAGTTTCGAACCCAGCTTGGAATTTGAGGAGAAACCGACGGAAGCCTGTCACTCCCTGTACTTCCTGCTGGACTTCTTCCACCAGTACTACATCCCGTCAATCATTTTATTGGGACTGGTCGGCAATCTATTGTCCTGTATCGTGTTTTTGAACACGCATTTGAGAGTGAGGAGTTCCAGTTACTATCTGGCAGCCTTGGCCACGGCTGATTTCGGTTTCCTGGTTTCACTGCTGTTCGTCTGGCTTAACAACGCATTAGGCTGGAGGGTGTTCAATAAAGATGGCTGGTGCGAGACGTTGGTCTACGTGAGCGCGGTCTGCAGCTCGCTGAGCGTTTGGTTGATCGTCGCGTTCACCGTGGAAAGGTTCATAGCTGTTCAGTATCCCCTCCACAGGCCCCATATATGCACCATAGCCAGGGCGAAAACTATAATATTGGTACTGGTGGTACTGGCGCTGACGAGCCATTCGTATTCGTTCGTCACGGCCGGAATCGTGAACAAGGATGGCTACGAATACTGCGACATGAAGGTCGAGTATTTGGAGACGATGAAGATCATCAGCATCATCGACAGTATTGCAAGCTTAATCGCGCCGTTGGTGATGATCATCGTGATGAACACCATGATTATGAGGAATCTGTTCATATTTAGCAGGCGGTTCAGGCAGACCTCGGTGACCTTCACCGACTGCCCGAGCGTCGAACGATCGGACATCAATCTGAACCAGATCCCGGTGAGTGAAAAATTTTTCATTTAAATAATTTGCCACCAGCATGTTCCAAGGCTTCATAATTGAATGATAATGTAATATGTATGTGTATACTATATTTCTCAATACACTTTCGCTTGAACTCTCTGTAGAATTTGCACAATATTAGGAAAGATTAATGCAACAGTTTTATGTTTAACTTGTCCGAATATTACTTCTAATAAAACAATCAGACAAATCAAATCGCATAGAACTCAATCCCAATTGAAAAGCCCGCTAATCAGATTTTAGGAACTCCTTAGTCTAGACTTTTTAGTTAGAAGCTATTGATTAATCAAATTTTTGATACTATTAATTAAAAAGTTTCTAAAATTTGATTAGAATTGGAATTGAGTTCTATGCGATCTGAGTTGTCTGCAGTAGAATGCCAGAGAACGTTAATTGCGATAAACGTATGTTATGTATCAATTGTATAATTCATATTTTAAAAGACTTTAATAATAGAAAGTGACTTGTGCGATCTACAAGTGAACATTTCTAAATAGTATCGCAATAGTAATTTGTCATTTTTAATGGATTGACGAATCGCCGAGAATGGATCGAAAACGTCTCGACTGAGATGCGTAGAGATGAATGGCGAGTGGTTACATAAGCCGTGGATATTTATACTACGATCGAAAATAGTTGGCCACTGTTGACGCTCGTCGCAAACGAGTTATAGTTTCACAGGAAGGGGATCAATGAAATTCCCGAAGGCGATACCTAGAGATAGACAACGTTAACTTTTTTAATACATTATGACTATTGTCTTTTTTACGTGCTAGATTACAACTTGCTAACTACGTGCAAGATTGGTAGTACGTGAGAGATTACAACTTTTAGAAGTTACGTTATAATGAAGAGTTAAGCTATAATGTATAATAGCAGATTTTATGGTATAAGAGTTGAAAATTAGGTATAAAAGAGACATTAATTATCCTTCTTTTGTATCAAGGCAAGTTACAGTGATTTCCTATTCGCTACAATCACGAACACAGACAGTTATCCAATATAACTCGGTCGTTAATCCGTAAAGGATGTATCTACCAATAAAAGATACGTTTATCTGAAGATATGACTTTCATACAACTATGAATTTAATACAGTATTACAATTACTAGTTTTTTTCTAATTAAACAATTCAGAGACGTTGAATAAATCGTGTGATCACACAAATTTAATTTTGGATAACAATTACCCATTTAAATAACAAAGGCCAAATTAATGTTCTACATAATCATAAACTAAATTTAACAAAAAGTAACAAAATTTTATCTCATATTAAAAGGCATATTTTTCGAAAAAATATGGATACACGCTTCTATCATTGGGCATGCTTTTTATAGCTACTGTGTAATTTCCAATATATGACCATTAATTAAATAAGGCCATGTATCATCATATGAAACATTAAACCACGTATCTGTTTTAATGAATTTTATTTCCGGATTTAAATAACTAATTAAATAACTTCAGCATGCGATACTGCGAATCGATAGTAGGTGGATATATGGGTGGTTCTTTCAAAAACGTTTGTTGCGCAGCGTGCACCAACTGATTAAAATATTCAAAGTAACTTCCTCTTTGTTTCAATATCATCGCAAATTAACTGTACGAATAAATTGCAACATGTATTGTATTTTTCTATCTTTTTAATTGCACTTGTGTCGAACTCTTTCTATTGAAAAATTCAATTTTTATACTGTGACGAGGTTGCGCTTTTAAAACAATGTCAAATATGACAGAATTTCAAAATTTAATTTCAAATTATTTCTTTGCTATTCAATGAAACTGTCACGGTTTCAGTTATCAA